CACGAGATGACGGGTTAAACAAGGAGTTTAGCAATCGTTGATCGAACTTGTATACACGAGGATGTGCAGCCTGTAGGCGAGTGCTTGCTGTGCGCAATCGCATGTGCAACCTGCGCGGTGGGCGCTGTGCTGTTCACTGTACAGCCTGCGCGGTGGGCGCTGTGCACTGTACAGCCTGCGCGGTGGGCGCTGTGCACTGTACAGCCTGCGCGGTGGGCGCTGTGCTGTAGCCATCATAAATACTTAATTAACAAGCTCTTATAAGTTATATGCGGCGATTACGTACCTGGCCATCACGTATCCCCCATTAAAAGCCTGAACCTTTCGCATCCATTCATTTTGTGCGCAATTAAAGTGCATCTAAAGCGATGGCGAGATAGCAGTATTGCAAACCATGCCAGTGATGCCACTTGCATTTTAGGACTAAAAAATATGCGGCTGAATTATAGCTACGTGATTGTTGTACTGTAAAAGTGGCTTAATTCTTGTACTGCAATAGTTGCATGATCGCAGTTCTGTATTGTTGTGCTCGCATCATCAACTGCACGGTAACTCTAGCTTATCACACGTATTGACGCTTACGTACGCATGGTGTACGCACTATCAGCATGCGTATGTATTACCAGTAAACGTGCGTATGGTGCAACGGATGACCAGCATGCATGCGTATTACCACTGAGCGTGCGTATGACGCTGCACATTACCAGTAAGCGAGCATGGTGCAACGTATGACCAGTATGCGCACGCATTACCACTAAGTGTGCGTATGGTGCTACGCGCTATCGCACACCCAGACTCTGGTGTTTCTCCACTTCGATAAGCTACCCGAGCATGCGATGCCTTCTCCCTTATTGAAAATCTAGGCCGGTCTACAAGTGGCCGATGAATGACCGAGGTTTGCATGGCCCTGAAACTTCTAGTTCTCTGCAGGTAACCTATGCCCGGTCTGAAAAACGTACGAAGGAAATTTCTGTGAAGAAAACGTGTGTATAGTATTTGCAAGCATGTACAAAGAAACGTCAAGGCGGAATAGACTTAAAATGAATCATAGGATTGACAATAGGAGTTACAAACTCGTAACTATTTTTTACAACAATTCTCATTAACTTCACTTCTTGTTTGTTTGTTTGTTTGTCTTAAATTTTATAATCGATAAGGATTTACCGTAGTTTGCCCTGGGTTCAAGGAGCGATGTTGAAGTTGCTGTAGTTAGCAGTCGGATTACAAAAAGGAGACGTGTTGGAGATATGACAGTTTACAGTAGGATTACTATCTCAGAGAAGCGTTGTAGATGCTGTAGTTTGCCATGAGATTACAAAATAAGAGGCGTTGGAGGTGCGGGCTCTAAAACGAAGAGTTTGTGTTATGTATTATTGTAGGTAATGAAGATGAAAAATATCTTGAGATAAGAATTAGCTAACAGGAAGTTTTAGAGTGAAATTATACATCAGAAGCGTCTTGGCAAACAAAATTATAATGACCAGATTGGTTAAATATTAACTATTTGGGAGCAATCCTGAAAGTTCCTAATGACATCACAAGCATTGGAATGAAAAGTAATTCCAACCTGCTTGCGTTTAGTTTTAACATCGACCAGCACTCACACTTTTACAGCACAAAGAAGAGATATGTGTAATAAAACAATTACAACTCTTCAATAAAGACGCGGGCCTATCATTTAGGAACGGCCGGGTGGCCGGTTTGGGTTCGCATTTTATCGTAATTAGGTATCCGTGCCAAAAGTATATGTGTTCATTGTCAAACTTCGACTTGCACTACCGTCGTAAAAATCCATAGTCCCATTACTAAACTCAGAGTTTTCGTCTACGTACATTTTATTTTCATCTTTCTAAGCACGAAAGTACACGTGTTCTAAGATAGCTTGTTGTCTTTCTTCTCAGTTTTGTTTGTGAGAACAACATCGTCGACCGGCGTCGGTGTCCCAGCCTGTTATTGGTGACGCGACAAGCTCTTTGCTCGTACTGAGTGACGTTGACGCATTGCGCTCCTCTATTCGTTTACATGTGTTCGTTTTAGATGACAAAATTCGCGATGATTGATCGCTAGACTTAGTTATTTATCTTCGTTATTTTTTTAACGTGTTTTTGCGTTTGTTTATGTATAATTATAAAATTTCGAAATACCTTTGGATATGTTTTCAAATATCTATTCATTACTTAGCTATTAATTTGCTGCAACATTAGTGTTGTAAACAAATATGCTTCTATCAAATTGACTTGAGAAAAATAACGTTCTACTCTTCCTCCGCTGCAAATTAATTCTTGCTGTGCAAGCTGCACCTGCCTGTCGATTATGAAGATTATCAGTGATTCCTTAATTCAGTTGCATCGCAGATGCAGAGGACAAACTAACATATTAATGTTGGCGTTTTGACGATTAATTTTCACTATCACAGCGCAATTCAATAGCCCTACCCAACCATATGGTAGTTAGCCTTGTTTTTCCTGAAGCTCGTCCTGAAGGAAGATCGTCTAAAAGTGAACCGCCCTTGTTGTTGGTCCGCTCAAAATTCCTTCGTATAGGAAGGAGCTGTCGTGTAAGGGGATCTTCTTGTTAGCCGAGACCTGCATGACCATTTCATCGTTCCTGGCTCCTGAGTCCTACGCTCACCAACAACACTATCCAACAACCAAAGATTTTTTCTAATTATTATCATATCTTTGGATTTCTATACTTCACCTGAACCCGTCTGCCGTTCGCTTTTTGATTACACCGAAGAGCGCAATTAAATTGAATGAGCAAAAGTATGACTGTTGTGAATTTTGTACATAACAAATCTATAATTATTGGCCGAGCACTTCAGCAAGGCATAAAATAAGCAAGCTTTTGTAGGTCCCTGCGTCTTATTAGTTTTTTATAAGCTCGATTCCTGTCTTCTGCTTCAACATTTATTGACCAATTTATTTTAGGTTCTAGTAGAAATAGCTTGGTTGAGCGCTTGTCCGTTTTATCAATTATGGGCTGAATGCAATCCAGGTACGAATATCATTAGAAGTAGAATAGCGATTTTTACCGAATATAATGGCGAATTTTTAAATAGTGCTGGGCTAATGAGGTTGTCAATCACCTGTCATTTATATATGTAGTGAAGCTACAATGTATTTTCATTATTGCCAGTTTCTTGCTATTTTTTTGAGAGAGTTGTCTTTCAATAACTTCATTTTTATCTGTAATTCTTGCATGAGATGTTATGGCTGTGGCATGGCTTGTGATTCGAGTCTCAACTGCTTGATTTTTTTTTGGATTTCGATTTTTTGCGGCACCTTGCTTCTATTTCCCTACCTTGAAAGATAATATTGAAGTAGATCGCTCCTAGTCCCATATGTTTAAATTAGCTCCATAAACCTTCCAATTGATTTAAACTTAGTGTTTTAACAGTTAGATCAATTACGTAAGATTCCTATTAAAATAACATTCGTGAATCACTTGAAGTTGTAATAAAAACTCTCAAAGTTACCGGTGATTGTAATTTGACTTCCGAATATGCAGTTGATAGTATAACGTCATTCGATGATGTTCGTAAAAAATAATGTTGATATCATGTATTCTGGGGCTAATCATTATTCAGTTTGCAAGGTACACTCCAATGTAATGTTGCAAGGTACACTCCAATGTAATTAGTTAAAGAGAGTATTTTTCACGCATGCAATGGATGCCCAGTTTTTTCCACCGGGGAGCTTGACTCAATCTATACTAGCAAGTCACAAGCATGAAGCACATGCCCCTGTTTCTCGGCACTAAACTTAAGTTCACAAAAAAAAAAAACAGGCAGCCAGATTTTAGCTGATGCTCGACCACGTCGCGGGCTACCTGTCAGATCACCTATTTTTACATTTGTTCATCTTTCAAACTTGTTTGTTTTTTCCTCGTCTACGCGCGTTAATGTTGACCAGCTAGTGGCGCCATCTCAGATTGCGAAGCTTGTTAATAGTTCCTGGTTCTTCATAGCTCGCATCGCTCAGAATAGTAGGAATTGTTTTGGCATGTCTCTAACCTATTATGAATATTTCGATCATGTATTTATTCTACTCAATAAAAGCATCAAGAGAAAATCTTTAATTAAGAATCTTTGATGTTGCTGGATTTTATTTATTAATTATTCGCCATGTATATTTGTGTCTATCAATATTTTATATCTATAGATTATATTTTCACCTGTGCATTTGATATATGTATATATCATTATCTATATTAGAAGCGGTGTGGTCTATATCAAAGCTAGTGTGATGGAGGCCGCAGAAGCTGTGGTCGATACGTGTACAGCCTATACATTACGCTCGCAGTTAAGAGGTCATAAATATGAAGCTTTGACTCTTCGCTGCTCCGGCTTTCAAGCTCCCCTCCTGTAGCTTTTTCTATAGTTTTTTTCACGATTCTGGTTCATATTTTTTTAATTTTATGCTTCTAATAAATCTTACTGCCCCAATGAAAAGGATTTGAGTTTCCAAGGCCAGAAAAAAGGGCACGAAACGTTTCTAATGAACGAGACTTGGACGAATTAATTTCTAATGAATAAAGCTTCGTGGAATAAATTTTGATCAAGCTCACGACTCGGCTTACATTCTACGAGTTTGAAAGGACGTTTTACGTTTCGTGTGATATTTCTGTACAAGGTGGCATCTAATAACATAACTGAATCACACAGAACCAGAGACTGCTCAGAGATTGTTTGCAGTGAACCACGCAAGAGTTATCCACCGCTCTCGATTTGATCTGTAAACGCTTCCTGATCCGCTTGGCAGTAATTATTTTTGTCCTATTGCTTTCTGATTAGCGTTTAATATGACGCGTGTAATATGCGAGTTACTTGAATGTCTCCAATTGTTCTTTATTTAACAGGGTAACTTGACGACCATCGTGGCATTGTCTCGCAGCGTGAAAGTAATTATTTTCGTCCTATTATTTTCTGATTGTCGTTTAATATGACGCGTGTAATATGCGAGTTACTTGAATGTCTCCAATTGTTCATTATTTAACAGGTAACTTGACGACCATCGTGGCGCTGTCTCGCAGCGTAAAGCTCCGTGTGCACGCCACCACCGCGTTTGTGATCAGCCTCTGCGTCTCCGACCTCTTGTTCTGTACCATCAACCTGCCGCTCACTGCCTCCAGGTGATTTACCATGCAACTATTCGATTATTTACAGGACAATACAATTTTAAAGTTTATTTTGTCACAAGTTATCTTTTCATCCTTCAAGCAGAAAGTTCCACAATGTTGCTATTCGCTATGAGCATAATTTGATATTTTTTATTTCAAACTGCCTCTGCCGTGGATCGACAACTCTTTCTCCGTAAGACAACTCGTTCTCCGACCATCAGCATGACGTTGTTGTTGACGTTATCACTTATCCAGCATATCCCGTAAACGAGTTTGCCTAACGCCCCCCTGTCGCTGCTCCCCACAGGTACATCCACGAGGCGTGGGTGCTGGGGGACACTTTGTGCAGCGTCTTCCCCTTCTTCTTCTACGGCAACGTGGCGGTGTCGCTCCTCAACCTCGTTGCCATCACTCTTAACAGGTAGAACTCGTATGCCACATTCGATAAGTCAACTTAACAGGGACTCTTTAATTTTTTAGTTGATATAACTTATATACCTATACTACGTGTATCACGCTATACACTCTGGGAGCTTAGAACACATTTATTTTTACCCATTGTTTTCTTGAACCTATGTGTCCCAAATAAATCACGCATAGCACGATATGAAGTGTTTCATTAACGTTATCGCTGTAAATGCCAAGTTATAAATCCTTGATGGAAAAATCATATATTTGTTCAGAAGATTTTTCACAATATCTCGTTTTCCTGTACTGAATATATTCCCCGTACATGCAGATACATCCTGATTGCACATCACAGTATCTACGACCGCGTGTACCGGCGCGTCAACCTGTACATCATGATACTAGCGATGTGGTTGTTTGCGTTCGGTATTATGGTCCCCCCTCTGCTGGGGGTGTGGGGGAGTCTGGGGCTGGACCCCCAATCCTTCTCATGCACCATCCTCAAGAAGGATGGCAAGTCCCCGAAGAAATTCCTCTTCCTCATGGGCTTCCTTCTGCCGTGCGTCATGATCATCGTCTGCAACATGGCCATTTTCTTCAAGGTTTTCACACGTTTCCGTTGTTTTTTCTAATTCCGTGAAAAATAAATTTACTTCAGTGGTTATCAAAGAAGCAATGTAACTCGAGTGACCGTAAGTAAATTAACTTTCAAGCTTTGGTTAAAAAAATATAACTCAGTACTCACTGCAGTGAGTGACAGAGAGCGCATTTTCTCGTCGACGAAAAACATGAAGTCACGGACGGACGGACAGACGGACGGACAGACAGACGGACAGACAGACGGACGGAAAGACGAACGGACAGACGAACATGTCGAGCACAATAGTGAATTTCTGTCATAAATCAGAAAATGCGCTAAAAATATGACCAGATTTGGTAAAGCTTGCGACGCGCTCATTTATGATCCCCTGCAGGTGTGTCAGTCCCGCCGTAATCTCGCGACGCTGCGCAGCACCTCTTCGTCAGCAGCGCCCGGGTCTGTGTCGCCCCTCAAGAAGCCCTCGTCGTTCCCGACGGTGCGCAAGGAGGACATTCGTCTCGCCGTCATGATCGCCATCATCTTCCTGTGCTTCATCCTCTCCTTCCTGCCGCTCATGATCGTCAACGTATTCGATGATGATGTGAGTAACCATGATTTTTGATGATTTCGGGCGTGTGGCAAGTTCAGGCTGAAGTTTCAGACATATGGAAAGTTCGGGCTGAAGTTTCAAACATGGAAAGTTCAGGCTGAAGTTTCAGATATATGGAAAGTTCGAGCTGAAGTTTCAAACATGGAAAGTTCAGGCTGAAGTTTCAGGCATATGGGAAGTTCAAGCTGAAGTTTCAGACGTATGGGAAGTACAGGCTGAAATTTTAGTCGTGAGTCTCTGAATTTTGAAATTTTTCCGATCGAAACAGTCAGTAAAGCCTTAATAAATGTAAGTGGTCCGCCCACATTGATTTAGCTGACATGTTTCGGTGATAAGTGATTCATTCTCTTTTTCATTCAGTCCTCGTACATTTTTAGGTCCTGTAGGTTTTCACAATTTTGCTACATAATCTTAGTTTTATTGCGATTTATTGTGAAATATTTCACCGTTTTTATTGAATGCATTTGGTTTCATTGAAAGCCTTTCTGAGGTTTATTTTCTCAATATCTCCGTTTACTTTGAAGGCTGGTGCTTTTGTTTGCTCTTCATTCAAGGCAAGCAATATTTCACTCGATTTTGCTTCAGTATTGTTCCTGCTTCAATATCCTTGCATGATTCTACTGTGCCAACTGATTACCCCATCAATATGATTATGCCTGCATTTATATTTACTAGATTTTACTAAAAATTATTCTACTTTTTAAAGACGCTATGTTCAAATTTTGTCAGTCTTATTAGGACCTTCCTTGCATTTCGCCTGTCCCTCGCCGAGTTAAATATAATATGTTCATATTAAAAACTCAGAAACCAATAAAATAATTAGAAATTGCAACTTATTTTCCTTGAAAACTTCTGGACCAGCTTCATTATCAGATTAGAATTATAAAATAAAAGTAGTAACAATTTTTGAGAGTTGATTTACAAAGTAGATATTGAAACCCACTTTGACGATGAAATAAGAAACAAACGGTCAAAAACATGAAAAATTTCAATTTTTATTTCAGCTTTGATCTATGTAGAAGCAAGGTACTCGTTATAAAAATACCGAAAATCTAAAATGTTGCTGTATACGCATTGTTTAATGCGGGGAATGCGTTGTATCGTTTCCATTACGACTATTCTCTGCGTAATTGCTTTGTTTAAACACCTAGTATGGTTTTTAAACGTATCTAATCATCGATAGATACAAAATTTCACATTACTTTCATTTTTGGTGGTCAATTTAGGTTTTGCTTTTGACTTTATGAATGGAGTCGTTTGAATTCGTAGTAATAATATTTCCGAATTGTGAATTTATGATGGCGCTGACTTCGGAAACTTTTCCAGTGGAATTACAGTGAATTTCAATTGTTTTTAAATTCCGGTTGATTTGCGATGTAACAGATAAAAAGTTCCTAATCGAATTATTTGTAAGTTTTTATGCATTGCTTTTCATTGTTGTTACTCGCATGCATCGGCTTTCTGGTGTCCCTCAAGTTTCAACAAGGCCAAGTTGTTACGATCATACCAAAATGTACCCTTCACTTTATCTTAAATTTACTCTAGTTTGGTTTGGGCTCATGCATGAAGGGAAAATATTTTTGATTGGCTTTAAAACCATGCTTGAGTTACCTCTCATTTGTAAATTCAACATCCACTCAATCACTTCTGCACTTTGTTCACAGATAATTCAACCCGACACTAAAATGATCTCTCCATGAACCGTTCTCCACCGCATGTTTCCAATCAAATAAAAATACTAACTTTTGTTCTTGTCGCCCGTAACTTTGGCCAGCCAAACTCTCAGGTGGTGTACCCAAGCATCCACGTGGTGGCCTCTGTTCTGGCGTGGGCGTCTGCAGTAGTCAACCCCTTCGTGTACGCCGTCACCAACCGCCAGTACCGTTCGGCGTATCGCAAGCTCTTCTGCGGTTCCCGCACCCGGCGCGATGCGTCCCACCGGCCCCACGACCACGACAAAAGCAACTCGTCCAAGACCTACATCACTGAATTCCAGTACCACGCGTCCACTGCACAGGTCACATCAACGCCGCTGCAGCAGCGACAGGCTGCTAACAACAAGCCTCTTATTTAAAACACGACAGGTCAAATGTCGTTGAAAGGAAACGTGGAAGTCATCGTGAACATTTTCTTTTATCTGTCGAGATGCAAATAGAACCATCCATAGACGCTACAGTGGAAAGTATCGTTATCGTAAGGCAGCGAACAATTGACCTCACATTTTAGGTTATATGAAGATTAGGTGAACTATCTTTCGCACTTCTCGTGAACGCCTAGTAATTTTTTGGTTGCTAAACGAAGGGGTTTTTAACAATCGATTTTATATTATAATATTTTAACATTTAATTTCAGTTTTGTTTCAGATGCTTGCAAAACCTGTTTTCTTAGTAAATGTTATTAAATAGAGTCAATTGCGAAAAAATTGAGAGCCTTAGAAAATGAAATTTGAAGTTTCATGTTCTTACAATGAAGTAATGCGAAAACTTTTTTGATGAGAATGTATTGGTGAGCTTTTTCATCTTTGAATGCGTACTTCGATGTGATGTGAATTTTTTATTGATCAAAACCCTACGAAAGCTACAATCTTGATGCTACTGACTGAGCAGCTCACAGTCGCTGTTGAATTTCAAAATCATTAAAAGCAAAGGAAAAAATCCGTTTTAAAATGGTTTTATAAAATTTCGCTGTCATTTATAGACATGAAGCGTGCGTGAAAGAAAACATAGCACGGTGTTCATTCTGGTTAAAATTTTGAATTTACCATGAACGTAGTCAAATATTTTAAGAGAGTTGGAATGGCAAGGCACTGTAGGAATGGAAGCAAATTTGCGACTGCATGTAGGAACAGACAAAGTAAATTTTCCGCGTCGCTTGAATGCTTGGAACTGACCGTTGAAAATAAGAAGTGCACAGAAATAACGAAAGTTGAAACCAATTCAGCGCAAGCACGCGAAACGAAAGAAGGTTAAATGTGTATAGTAAGAAGTGCGTTCTGCAGCAGGTACGATACTGGTGTGTACAATCTACATTTTCCTTACTAATTTACATGTATTAGCTTTAAGGCATTGTAGTTTTTAAGTCCTTCAGTATTGATAACTTTGTCTTAGTCTCGCATCCTTGTAAATCTGCAACATATCACATTGCTACGTAATTTCCGAGTCTTGTTGAAAAATCCACGTTATAGTCAATTTTTGGTCCGTAAAGATGTTTATAATAATTCTTTATGACAATCTGTTCCACGTTGCTGCTAACAAAATCAGCAGTTGATCTTTTTTTTTTTTTGTTCTCTGCACCGGTCAGAAAAGACATTGTCAGAGTTTGAAATCAAAATGAACGCGATCGTAATTTTTTTAATTGTAGCTGATGAATCTCGTGTATAGAGTAGTACGTTTGTTAGGAGCTTGTGAATAATGCATTAATGTAGGTATACTGCTTATAGATTTTATTTAGATTTTTCGTTTAGAAGTTGGTTGTCTCCAGTCGTGAGTTTACACAACTTGCGTTCTGTTCTAAGATTATCTTTAAATGCGAACAAATTTAATGCCGAGTAGATATTCTCATGAGGCAAGGAAGACAAGGCTCAGAATTGTATAACGTTTTGGCGGTAAAGAATAGTTCCACAAAAATTATTAAGGTGCTGTTAAACTCCATGCTGTTAAGTCAGAGACATTCTTGTCAAGATTTTTTAATAGTGCAGAATACAATGCTTGCTTGTTTACTTGATGATACTAAACAGCATTTGTTGTTGATTGGAGTTGCTGCCGAGTCGAGTGACGAGTGCTGGCTGCAAACGGCAGTGATGCTATCCATTGCGGATGATAGTGCTGAACTGTGTGCTTATTAATATTTACGAAATGATGGTATTTGACGATGGTGCTAAACAAGTGATTATTGTAGATGATGATGGTGTTGACACATGATTTTGGAAGTGGATGATCTTGATATGAATTATGCAATTTTAATGAAAGTATCATTAGTTGAAATGTTGTTGCGTCTATTTTGTTCATAGAACATTAGTGAAACAACGGTTTTCCGATGCCGACCGCCAAAAATGGATTTCAGATTCGTAATCTACACCCCAAAAAACATATAATTAAAAAAAAAAACACCCTTTTTTTTGGATGTAGTTAATCTGCAATAATACCCTCCATGCTGTCAAGTCAATGACATTCTTGTCAAGATTTTTTAATTGTGCGGAATACAATGCTTGATGATTTACTTGATGATACTAAACAGCATTTGTCGGTGATGGGACGTCATTTGAGTTGTTACCGAGTGGAGTGCTGGCTGCAAATGACATTGATGCTATCCATTTCTGATGATAGTGCTGAACTGTGTGTTTATTAATATTTGCGAAATGATGGTATTTGACGATGGTGCTAAACAAGTGATTATTGTAGATGCTGATGGTGTTGACACATGATTTTGGAAATGGATGATCTTGATATGAATTATGCAATTTTAATGAAAGTATCATTAGTTGAAATGTTGTTGCGTCTATTTTGTTCATAGAACATTAGTGAAACATCTCGTCTGTAGATCAACACATTAATCCTAAGCATGTTTTATTCAATAAACTGTATTGCTAACCTGCCTGCTAGGCTGTTTACGCTGTTAGGATTTTATTATTGTTAATAAGCGTGTTTACCCTCTAGTTTAGTTTCCCCTGTAAACTACGTTCTCTGTACAAACTCCTGATAGAAAACTTGTAATTATATCATTTGCAGAGGTCACTTCATTATGCGAGGGTGGTTTTTATTGTTCTTTCTCTCTTGAATTATTACGTAATCGAAGTTATCGAACGTACCATACATACAGGCAAATTATTTATAGCTTTAGTAAATGAAATTTACTCATTACTCTCAGTTCAGAAATAACGAGGGCTTGTTGGGCAACCTTCACGTTTACTTGTATTTCTTCTAGTTCTTGCGAATAGTCAAGTATTGGATGAATTCTTATTGTTACCTAATATTTTAATGTATTTTATCAATTATGAGATTCCGTCGAGTGCTAAGACCGACTTGGCTCTCAACGCCCGAGTGCTGTCAGTGTCAGATACATTCTAAGATGAAATACAATGATATTAAAATGCTGAATTTGAAATGAAAACTTCACGGATAATGGAAGAATGAGTTCTTCTGGATTAAGATACCTTGGCATTGATTAGAATATTTGCTATAGAACATTGCGCCTGTCGGCTGAGAACACAGGCGAAAAATGCTTTCAATGGCTATGGACAGCCACACAGCGTGCGAGAGAAAATAAAATGAATACTCACGGAATTTTTTTTTTGCTTGACAAAATTTGTTACGAGGCTTGTGTATCAAATGTCGCTTTACCTAACCGCTCTTCTTAAAGTATAATCGATCAGAAAGTGCAGTTTCTCCAAACATTCCAGCGCTCCTTTTCTCCTTGATCAATAATGGACCAAGTATTTAAACATGAAGTCTTTGCTGGTGAATGCTACACGTTTTTATTAGTGATTTATATTGTTCATTAGCGTGCACTCATGACGTGTTGTCTTGTTTTGTACTCACGATATTTACTATCATCGTCTGAATTGTCATACTCTCATACTCATACTTTTTCTAAAAATGTTAAGTTCCCAATCGACTTATAATTTTTATTTGCATTCAGACGGAAAGGCTGTGTCTAAAGTTTCACTTGAGATTTGCTAGAAAATGTCTCAATAAATTTACAATCAGCCCAGTCGAAAGGCTATATATAGTGTGGCTTGGATTCGTCATTTAGAACTCCAAGCTGAATGCTGAATTTATTGAGGATTTTGTCGTAGTGAGACTCGAAATATTTTTGGAACTGAAATTCTTCAACATCATTAGTAGCCCATTGAAAACAACTTGAAATTTTAAACGCGTGTGTAGCCAGAGAACTTCGTTAGTTCAATTTTCGTTTTGAATGAGGTTTGATTGTTCTCATGATTGTCGAGTTTTGATCAATAATATATTGTAAAATCAGTGTATGTAATAATAAACCTCATGGAAGAATTTTCCATCTTTCTTTTCCTAAGTTTTGCAGAAGAAACCAATCGCGTAAGCATACATAACAATTTCCAGATGCATCGTATTGGATGAACTTTATCAATAACCAAGGACTGCCTGCAGCTATGGATAGGACGAGCAGCAAGAACATGAAAATGCTTCTTTGAATGCAATAAAAATAACGTAAGTGTATATTAGATACGAGTTGGCAAACCTGGAGACGCTCACGGTTGATAATCGCTGAGCCACTCGAGGCTCAATTCAAAATTTCATTCTTACAATAGGACAGGGTGGGCAGTAGCGCGCTACATGTAGCGGCCGCTACATTTTAAGTAGCGGTAGCGGCGCTACATTTAAGCAATTGTAGCGGTAGCGGTAGCGCCCGCTACATATTTAAGTAGCGATACGAGGTTTTGCCGCTACAGCGCTACCGCTACATTAATAGATAAATCCTTTGGATTTTATTTAATAGTATTAAATATTATTTAAAAACCAGCATGATACATACATAATATATTACAGAATAAAACTGTATGAAAGATTTCGGTGTAATGTTGTCAACCTACTGAACCTAGGCCTGTTACTAGTGTCAACATGTTAGTTGTTAGTCCAGAGGTGGGCAGTAGCGCGCTATATGTAGCGGCCGCTACATTTTCAGTAGCGGTAGCGGTAGCGCCCGCTACATTTAGAGCATTTAGCGGTAGCGGTAACGGCCGCTTCATTTCAAAGTAGCGCTGCCCAGCTCTGCAATAGGAGCGGCAATCTGAATTTTGCAGCAAAATTGTAATTTCATAATCGTGTTTTAACATGCTGATAGTCTCAACTTATGTGCAGCAAAAGTTCAAATTCAATATATAAAAGCAGACAGTTTTCTGGCAAAATTTCTTCTTGCTGGCCGAGAACAATCGTCACTCTTTTCTATCTTGATCGTAATTTGTTCTCCTAGCTGGAAGGATAAAATTGGAGGAATATTGAGTAGTTAGAAGTTAAATTTCATTACTAAACTAAAGGGGTGGGAGGTCAAATGAAATTTTTCGCAATATTTGGGGTGATCTCAGTTTTTCGACTATTTCGTGATGCAATAAAGATCGCTTTCCTATATAGATTACGAGGACGGAAGCGGTCAGAACGAATTTTGTATAAAAATGAAAATCATTTGACAAGGAACTATTCTAATCATGAGTGTGTGTTCGTTTTCAACTCAATTTTTAAAATATCTAAATATACTCTTCCAATGGCTACAATTATCATAACGCTTCTAACTAACACAAGATAATTAAAGCAAGACCCTCAATAAGATATCAACTAAGCCAATTTTCTTCATCACAGTAATTATCAGTAAACACGCAAAAATGAATTCTCGCCTTATATAATCATAGTTTTCTTGTAAATAGATCGAGAAAGAGAAGATAATTTTGTCTGCAAAGTCATCTGAGGTGCCGCCGGCTAGCGTGTTTCGAATCCGCTTGTCAGTTGTTCAGAATTTAGGCTTCTGGTGAAAAAGTTAGCGGCGAGCGTGGTGATGAACAAAGTCCTAAGAAAATGGACAATAGAAGGAGAAACGGTTACGATCGTTCATCACTGTAATCTTTGTGACATTGTGAACAGTTTGAACCGTAAAATCTATTTTTTTTCAATCAATGCAATTTTTCTGCCGAAATATGTTTGACAAGGACAATCATTATTCTACGTAGCAGTTATCGGGTCGTCTGGTTCAAACGAATTTTTTTGGCACGTTACACATAAGTTCAATGACAAACGAAAAATAATATGCGTTTAAAAATTATTTTTTAAAGACAACTCTTCTAAAGAGGCCAGTCTCTCCGATGTTACCTATCTACAATGAATTTCTAATTTTATTTTTAAAAATTTAAATTCAATTAATTTTTTTTTTCATTTTTAATGATAGAAAATAAAAAAAATTTCAATTTATTTATTCGATCTATTAATTTAAACATTGTCTCCGACGCAAGTGTGCAAAATTTTAGAAGGAATTAGTGTTCTATATAGATTATAACATTTGTAACAGACAAACAAACCAACAAAGAAACAAACAAACAAATAAACTAACAGACAAGAAATGAAGTTAAGAGAAGTATTGTAATAAACAAATAGACACAAGAAAAGATGTGAACATAAATAATGACTAAGCACTAGATTCATAGGCTCTACGAAATGGTTCCGTCTTTAGGTGTCGACAAAATACCTGCAAGGAGTACAGAGGTCGTTGTCTTGGTACAGGGATGAGTAGCACGCGAGTACAGCACGAAGTTATCGTTACGTAGGTGCAGTTGTTTGCCCCTAGCTCAGTTCGTCCCAAGTCTCTATTGTGAGTGGCTGCCTTGCGTCAGATGTTTGCACAGAAATTTCTCCGACTGCGACTGGATTTCAGTTTTCGAGTGAAACATTAAGCAACTGAATGTCATGCAATTTAGCTGAATTCTTGATAATCGGATAATTGTTAATATGTCAAACAGAAGTTTGAGGTCAGTTTAGAAAAAGCATAATGATGTAATCGAGTCGGTTTCGATGCACAGGGCAAAAGGATCTACTTCTTAGAAAGATAAGCTTCATTTCTTGGCTGAATTTCTATTATGGAATGGTCAATGGCTGCAAGGGGAAGTGAGATATGTTAGCGTATATGAGGCATGTCCACTGTCCATTAAAAAAGTCTCTGCAGTTTTATAATTACTTAGTTAATTTTTGTAATTTTCAATGCAAATTCAATTTGGGTTGACTTCGGAAAGACTTCAGGTTTGTGCGCGTAATATGAACTGAAGATTAGAGACCATCAGTATAAGAATTCTACAATTTAATTTCAGTTATCGTGTAGCATAACATAACATAACACAGTGATGTCGGCGCTGAAGTGGAGGCCAGATGTGGCCTGTCGCCGATTCTTTTCCTTTTCGTGCCTTGATCATAGATCTAAACTCGTGTCATTTGACCGGATCTTTTCATGACTGACGATAGTTTGAAGTAGCTACTAGACTTCCACCGGGTTCGATAAGGAGCTAGGCATTTCAAATCTGAACATATATTTTTCCATAGCTTTATCTAGTCTGTTCTTGAACGCGTTCATACTTGGAGCGCCAACGATGTCATCGGGGAGGCTGTTCCACATGTCGGTGATTCGAAGCGAGAAGAAACTGAAATTGCCGTCCTTTGGTGTGTAGCGTGTGATGTCTTGGCTGCAGAACATTGCTCACTTCAGCCTTAATGTTTTTCTTCACACGTTTTTGAAATTCCAATTTAGGTTGCCTACATTATAAATGTAATATCCAGCATGTGGTAAAACTGTATTGAACGTTTTCTCTCATCTTCTGACCTAATTTTCATTCCGCTATTTCAATTGATAATTTCTTGCTACCGATTCAACTTTCAGATTTTCTTTTCTTTTGGTTATTTTTTTTATTATTTTTCATGAATTAATCAGCCTGTCAAAAGCAGCAAAATGAAGCCCAACACATATTTTTTATTGGGGCTCACTACTTTAGTGTGCGTGTCGTTCACCTACTGGCTGGCAATGGAACATTACTGGCAACCCATTGCCTTTCAAAGTGAGTATTACTATGATTTTTGTGGCCTTGAGGTCCAATCCTTGCAATTACCTGACGAATAATTCACTTATCCCGAACGATTCATTTAAATTATTTACACGCATGTTATTCAACCTGAAGTAGAATACCTTATACAAGAGTGCATCGATATCTCTCCTGCAATGCTGTTGTTTCTATATTTTTCTATCTCTGCCAGTATTATTTAGAATACAAAGTTCAAAAACCAGATTAAATTTTCTGTTAGTAACGCATTCCAAATAAAGGTTATTCGTAGACAAGGTGCATTCACATGGTGATAATTTTAACGTGCGGTGCTTGATATGGACACATTCTGAAAAATGAGTCCGTACAATACAACTAACGGTTACGTCGAGTTCAAGGGTGTAGGAGCAGGTCTTTTACATTATATTGTGTACGGACTTGGAATGTTATTATTTGTATGAGCTTTAACCGGTTAGTATTCCGAGCGCAACATGAATGATCCTAAAAGATACGTGAGAACAATAATTTTCGAGGCCGAAGTCGTTTCTCCCAGCTAGTTAGTTTTGACCTTCAAGTGAATACACAGCATACATACGTCCCGAAATCAAATAAAAAATATTTAAAATAAAACTACCCATCTATTTCAATTTGATCAACAATAAAGTGGTATCACCAAATCATATTTTCCGTATTGTTAAGAATGATTTGTATAGATTGTGTTGATAATAATTCAGACTGGGTATTTTCGTCGTGGTTCTGATGGAAACAATCTACAATTGTCATACCCCATAGAAAGCTGCTTTATCTGAAATAAAAGTGCCAGGTTGCCCTGAACGCTGCATACTCACTGGGCGATTAATTAATGCTACCGTCATACCGTGTACCATATGAGGTGCATTCAGGGGGGCGCATGCCGGAGGCCAACTTTGCCAAACTTCACACTTAGTTCATATTCCTTTCCATAGGTAAGAACGCTAGAGTGCATAACGGCCTATGAAGTCAAGTGCTTTGAGCACTTGACTTCGTACCACAGCCACAAAATAAGCTTGCCAAAGGTAAACATGGCCATACTGCATCTGCCCAAAGCTTCTCTGGCCTAACCTCTTCAGGCCTAACCTATACAAGCTCAGGTCAAGTTGCAACCTTTCTCCACACAAAACAAACCTGAGCGGACCTAACCTAACCTCATTGGCTGCAAGAAGTTAGAAAGGCGGTCCAAGTGTGCTGGTAGAGCCAGTCATTGGCTGCAAGAAGGTTGTGAGCCGGGACAGCGTGAATAGGTTAGGCCAGAAGAGGTTAGGCCAGAAGAGGTTAGGCCGGAGTAGATGCATCCGGATGGGAAACTGCCTGCTTATGAGCGTGCATGCGTTAAGCATTGGCTGAAGACCTGCGGCGCTATTATCTTTCGGCAGTGTGTCGCTTGTCTGGATTACGGAGGTCAAGCGTAGTCTGCAGCTTCTAGTTCTGAGGCTGAGTTAAGTTAATGTATGGTGAAGCTAGGCGTTGGCTCCAGGGCTTATTTAAGAGTAAAATTTGTGGCCTACGGCTGCCCCCCATTCAGGGTTATGCATTCAATCTACAAAACGGAGCGATAGCTAGTTACTATATTCAGCGATCAAAATACACGTAACGGTCGATTTCTCGTGACTGATTGGTGGGTTTACGTCAGTAATTGTGTGCCGGAGTCGTCGCGAACTCCTAATTATTTTTTTTTATAGTACGGCCGAATGCCGTACTATAAAACCATTAACATAAAACCAGTACCATTAAGCCTAGATTTTATAAAATTGTATTATTTGAAGTCTTCTAGTAAAATCTGTATTCAAATTCCTCGTACAATGTTCAAAATCGCAGACTCTACAATGATTGTTGAATTTCTTTTCTTCGGATCATTACTTCGAGAAAATACAGAACTAATGAACATTCTACAATTAAGTGGCAATTCAATGAAAAATGAATAAATTTCATCGATAATAAGATTGCACATGTAAGCAAGTACATCATGTTCATTTCAGACGGCACTTGAAGATTCCATGAATTATTTCTCACTTCATGTAGTACGAGTTGTCGTTTAGACGCCCTTATATTTGTTGCGTCTGTTTAGGATAAACTAAACGACTAAGTGAAATTTTAGTTAAATAAATTAATTTCTTATGATATAACTAATAATTGAGACATAATTCACGTAAATGAATTCAGTTCTTAGGATACAATTGATAATTGAGACGGCGTCTTGGTAAACTGAATTCATTTATTCAGATGCACTTAATAATTGCAATGAAATCTTAAATTAATTCATTTCACCTGCTGGGAAGAGGCATAAGCAGATGCCAGCACCTGCACTGTTCATGTGACGCAGTCTTGGTAATGCAGAAGTGGTAGGCAACCGCACGCTCTCAGGGCATGACTCGGCCGAGTCTTGCTGGGATGCAGCGAAGATGCGAACTGCAATCGAAATGTAAAAGGTTCATTTGGCAACGAATCAATAATGAAATAAATTATTCATAGTGCGATACTTGTTTTGGTTTTGTCCTTTTTACGATTTAAGCTTTAAGTGCTACACCAGTGAAATAATTGGGTGCAAAAATATTTCGAACACCAATTAAAATTTTATAGGAAAATAATGGATTTCTTAACTAGTGAATATATATTGACCATTATAGTATTCCCAACAAATGTTTATTCTTCAATGTTATTCTCATTGATCCAAACAATATCGTTTCGCCAGAATATACAGTATATATTTTAAAGAATTGGCCCGTTGTAGATGCAAGTCTGCACTTGGCAGGCTCAGAATTCAACTTGAATGTTGATTGGCTAATGAATCTACGATGTCTTAGTTACTAATCACGATATTTCTTCCCTAAAAAATAGCTTATCTTAAAAGTTTCATCATATAGTCACCATAATCGATTTTAAACAGGACCGCTTTGATCAAGATAGAACGGGTAAAATAATCGGACGTTTAATTATAATTTAGTCATGCATGAAGTGGAAGATGCGCGACTAAATCGTAATTTTCCCCATTATAACGGCTAATGATTAGAAACGATAAAGTAATCTGAAGTTAACTGATGCGTTTCTTCGGATCTAGAACTAGAATACGGGTCGTCTATATCTTTTCCACTGACCGCGATGATACGCGGTGATTAGATTAGATTCCGCCCAGGCAAAGCTAACAGCAATGCCCGTGCCCAACTTTATACCTCGGCATAAGGCGTAACATTTGTGACAGATGAACGTCACAAGGTTCATAAAATTGTCATATTAACGTCATATTAATTCTCAATCGAGGCAAAATCGTATTGGTTGCTTATCCGAACCAATTTAATCACCCATAGTCGCGAGGCGTCGCTGCATGTAAGTTGCGGCTGGGATATTCATTTACAGGCTATAGATATATATTGCCCCTAACGACTGGGGGACGCATGCCGAAGGCCAGCTTCACCCAACTTCACATTTTAATCAAATTCCTTGCTATGGATAAGAACGCTATAGGAAATAGCAGCCTATGAAGTCTAGTTCTTAAAGCCATAACGCAGTATGCCCATAGCCACAGCGCAAGTATGCCCAAGTTAAGCGTGGTCATATTGCATCTAGCCAAACCTATTCCCGCCCAACCTCTTCTGGCCTAGCCTACACACGTTGCAACATTTCACCACGCAAAACGAACCTGAGCTGACCTAACCTCATTGACTACTGGACGTTGAGAAGAAGGGCAAGTGAGAAGGTAGAACCAGTCATTGGCTGCAAGAAGGTTGTGAGTCGGGGCAGCATGAATAGGTTAGGCCAGAAGATGTTAGGCCATAGTAGGTGAGTCCGAATGCTGAACTGCCTGCTAATGAGCAAGCATGATGAAGTTTTGGCTGAAGACCTACGGCGCTATTATCTTTAAGCAGTGTATCACTGGTGCGGATTACGGTGTTCCAGCGTGGACTGCGGCAGCTATCTCTGAGGCTGAGTAAAGTTATTGCATGCTGAGGCTGAGAGTTAGCTCCATGGCTTATTTAAGAGTAAAATTTGCAGACCGCGGCTGCGCCCCCATGACTGGTAATATAAGAAGATACTAAATCAAATAACATTTCGATACCTAAGACGCCGAAGTCAATTATACATAGAGATTTAATTTCAATATATTAGTTCCGTCACTAAGTTAGTTACTATTTCTGGGAGCTTGGACCACAGATTATAAGGGCTGAGTTTGGTAACGTATTTGAAAGTATTATCACTCAGTTGTTATCTCAGTCATGTTCTCATACTGACGTAAGCACAAAGAACTTAAATATTTTTAATGCATTATTGCTTTATAAATTATTATTCCTTATTTATTCCTCTGTTTACCTTCAATGAAAGAAACCTTCAATTCATCTAGTAGAAAATAATTGTTGGGAAAGCAGAACATACGAATTTCTTCTGGAATATTGACTACTTTGCTTTTAAATTTTAATTCTATTTCTGAGAGTTTTTTTAAACCTTTGGACTTCTTTCCACACATTTGTACCCCTCCGTGGTAGGCTCCCGGTCTTCTTTTTCTGGAATTTTTACTTCAACTTATGATGATTTTCATAGTGACAGCTTCCTCAGCAACGAACGAGAGCGAGGTCGGCCCTCCAGCGCCCGAAGCAGCGCGTCTGCGGTTGCCTACAACGTCGCAAGGTCTCGCTTCGTTCAAACGCTTACGCACTGCTTTAATATCCTCTATATTTGCACGCGACTTGCACGAAATAGGCGTGAACCGGCCACTCAAACTTTTACAGATGACATTGAGCTTCTTATATCAATCATGTGATCGATGTTACAAAATGAGAAAATTGGTCATCTCATTTTCCACTTGCTTTTCGCAACTGGAAAGAACACGTTATGGTATCCTAGACGAAACAAGTCAATAAAACGATGGCATTATTTTTCTAAGAGCTTTTGCTGTTCGCGAATTGCATTTGGTCGTCTTCTTAAATTTCTGTCATTTTTCTTTTACTGCTTCATTGTTTCACGTTTCAGATAGTATTAAACAACAGGTTTAATACTACTCCGGACTAAACTCGTACTAAAATGCCCAAAACTCAACTTGCTGTAATGCGCCCAAAGGCCCCGGACTGATGGAATGCATGACTTAAAAATTAATTTAAAATTGCTTTTTACCCTTTAGCGGGATAATTACTAATAGTCGCTTAACACGTTGACTCATAAGTGGTGCTTGTGCGTGCCACGAAATATTTTTCTCCAGGACGAAGTGGTACGTAAATCAGGGTTGTCATATGGCCTAAAAACGGCCAAATCCCCGATCAAAGATGGCCCAAAAGGCCTATAACTCAACATATACTTGTTTATTTGTAGGTTGCGATGTAAAAATTAATTTTTTTACGGTTCTTTAAATTTATTTAGAAAGTATCCCAACCATAAATTTTAGCCGGCCAACGCAATTGAAAAAAAAAACTAGATCACGGAATTTGTCCGGAAAAAGACCGTCTGGCAACCCTGTTTTATAATAGTACAAAAAATGAAATAATAATACAAGATGAATCAATCGGAGTCAACGTGTTAAATTTCCTCCTAAAAAGACCCACAAGAGCCTCCAATTAGTGTTTGCTGCTTCGTTATCATGCTCTCCCAATCATCATCATCTGACCATCGTTCCGTCATCCCCAATCATGCCCAAAAAATAAAATGTGAGCTTTTCAATTAAAGTTTTGACTCGGAATATGAAATTTTCGATTTATCCACATTTTTAAGGCAGAAGTATCAACATATATTCAATTAACTAAAGAAATTTGATAGTAGTAACTTGAAGGTGGATAGTTATTCCCTTTACATTTGCATCTTTAACTTTGAATTACATTAAATTTTGTTGGCGTAGTGATCATATTTAATACATTCTTTAACTGCGATTTACTCCTTCAATAAGTCGAATTTTCAGAAAATCAATAGTAGTAAGTGCATCTTAAAATGTTTCGTACATTCTTGCAATGGATTGAGAAATTTGCATCCTTGCACATTTCAATGCTTACCAAAAGTTTAACTCTGCTGTACCGAATTATCACTATAATAGCTGAGCGATACGAAAATTGAACATTTTAAGCAATAAGATGTGTTTATATAATAACCTCACATGAATTAGTCAATAAGAAATGAAATGTTTGCTATTCATCGGTACGGAACGGCAGAAACGGTCCAAGCTTGAGATGTAATGAGAAGGCAGTTTCATGCACCTTATCACCCCATTCCTCGCTATCTCCCATAAGGTGCCCTGTCTCCGTAATTGATTCTAGTGTTACATTAAAAATTTTTGCTATGTGATGAAGAGCTTCCTTGATTTTCTTCTGTCATAGAGCCTATAATACTGTTGTTGTCCCTTCACTATTTCTCATTGTATTGTTGTAGGCCCTCAACTATTTCATCCTTCAAGCACTGTAGGCCTGCAATGCATGTAGATTGTAGTCAATCAAACCTTGATACATGATTTTGAACATAAGATATGTACTCTCGTCAACCATTTGAACTATTTAATCTATTCTTCTATAAATGAATTAATTAAAACTTGTTTCCTCGCAGTAGATGGCACGCATTTGGGGTACCTCATCGACACACCATCTTGCAGAATGCCTGACTACGACCCTTATGACGTCAGCATCAAGAAATTCATTAAAAAGCCCTTCAAGGTTAGTGAGCACGTCCTTAGCATCCAATAGCAGTTCAATATGTCCTTTTGAGATTGTCAAAATTTCCTCTTTGTTTACATTATCTATATTAAAGTGGTTCCCAAACTTTTACAGGCTTTCCCAAACCGATAGCCTCACAGACACAGACACCTCTTTCGTGATATTTGGTATGCTGATAATTTGAGCAGTTTTAACTGTTTCAGCAACATAGAAGGGTAAATGAACATTCCACCAGTAATTTTCATTGTCTCACACTTATTGTAGTATGCTTAATGGGATGGTTGTGCTTGGTTATATTACTTCGACTCCGGACTACCGCCCCTCCCCTTCCCATATCCTTCCACCGACTCGAGGGTGGAAACCGGAAACCGACTCCTTTCCATTTACCGCCCACTCTGGGAACCACTGATCTCTAATGAAGACCTTAAATGATTTAGATTTAGTCTTAAGCGTTTCCCATGAGGCTAGCAATAACATTCCTCCATTGTAGAGGTCATCGCGTTTGTTTTGATTATTCAGCTATGTTTTATTTTCCGGCGTACAATGCCAAGTTCATTTAGATTAATGCCGCCTCTTTGCACTATAGAAACATATTCTAAAATATTCATCTATTCATAAAATATCCTTCTTTCTCTTACAGAGCTTTGCGTTTTGCATCTAATTCGCTTCAATGGCATTCCCTGATTGAATATAATGTGCTACGTGTTAGGATTTGTCAACTAGATGATTAGTACCAGATGATAAGAAATGTGAGTGCATCAACATAAGGACATAATTGTGAAATGCAAATTTCATTCAATCACTAGTCGATTTGATATTCTATACCAGCAATAACAAACGCCACATCACAGACGCAAACCCACATTCTACGGCTAAGTCTATCTGGTTTAGATCGATTTATATTACATTTTTAAAACAGTTATCTTTCATTCTACGCTAATTTGCCTACTTTAATTTGACCGTTATAGAAATTATTTCGTCTCATATTAGTTCATCAATTATGATTATGACAACATTCATCTCAGACGAGGTTGATCCTGCAGTGTAGAGAAGGGTTCCCCAACTTAATGTGATCGTTCACCATGTGGAGGTTCGGGCAAGCACCCAAAACGTATCATGAATCCTACCCATTATCACATATATTTTACATTTTATTTTATCACGTTCAATGATTATCAGCATTGCTGAAGATTGTTCATGATATTGTATGTGCTCGCATACCTTCTGACAGACCCTCCCGTATGACAGTTTGGGCACCTCTGCTCCCAAGAATCAAACTTTTTGGAGGACTACAGTATATCTTGACATGTCCAATTGTTCTTTGATGTGTTAGAATATTTATTTATTACCCTAAATCAACGCCAGATGGTCTGCAATCCTGAGAATTTGAGCCCCTTTACCTTCACTGAAGGATTCAGGATCAAGATTAATGAGGACCCCAAATTAATGGCACATTACGATGTGACGCTCGACTCGCTGTCCTGCTGTGTTCACGAGATCACCAGGACCACGCAATCCTTCAAAAAGTTCGATGCGGACTGTGATAACAAATACAAGTAAGCCCCCTCAGGGTGGGACTTCTGGCGCTTGTCTGTGCTCGTCAGAAGTCCTATGGGATTTCGAGCTCCTATAGGTGGATTGACCTGAGAGCCCCGCCGCTGAGTTCGCAGTGTCTCACTGCAGGTCTCAGTTGTGGGGTCAAGTTATTATGTAGATAGGATTCCTTACATTTCTCTTCTCTATCTCTCTCTTGCGGGCGGTCGACGTCCCGTGTAAGCGACCTTTTGTTCGGGTGTCTTTAGTTTCTGTTGCTTTTCACCTTGTTACTTCGTCTTTTAGCGATGCTAACGCTGCTTCCTTCGATCCAGCTTCAACGGGCTGGACAATTGAGACCATCTGAATCTTGTGGGTGATGAACAATTTTTGATTTGAGAAACTTTCGATAATTGAGACCTACCACCTCCTAGGTGATGTTCATCTTGACTCTCGGTGCGAGATAGCTAAATAGCTGAAGCGCTAGTAGCTAGTAAACATTTGGCCACTAAATTAACTAAATACAAGTAAGCGTGAGTTGAATATACAGGAAGTTTTTTTTTGATTTCATTCCTTTGAATTTATTGAGTTAGTTCATTTTAGGGCTTAGGATATTAACACACAATTTGACGAGCAGTCTGTGTGTTATTAAGCGTTGTATATCTCCTAAATTGACAAACGGTACAATGTCTCTTCAGTCTAAAACTTTCCCATATTAAATTTCGAAGCACATAGCTGAAAGCTTTAACCCTCAAACAACAATTTTTATTATCGATTAGTGATCAAATGCTTTGCTGGATAATTGAATTCATATACGTTACTAATGACCTAAGTCCTAAAAATGAATTACTGTGAGGTAGCGGAACCAAACTTGTTTTGTGAATTGCTTCTCAACACTGCTGTTATGAATATAGAACAAAATGATGTATGAAATTCTCATATATCTCAAACTTCAATTAATTTGCTCAATAATTCAAATTATATTGTGTTTGCATGCTGCAGAACGAGCAAGTGTCATCTGATCGTCAACGGCTCTTCCGCAGAAGTCGCAACAGACGGAGCTTTTGTCGTCTGCTCAAAAAACAACTCGATATCTAAGCCATTCTACAAGAACGTCCACTATTTCTTCCACACGGAAAAAATACGCGACAAAATTGCCGCTCACAAAGTAAGCTTAATATAAACTCATAAAAATTGCGATTTAAATATTTCTCGACTTACGTTGGAGAGAATACCTCTCTGACTGACTCCCATGGAATTTGGAAAGTAAGTATATATTTTAATAGAATTATAAGTTGTACTTCAAATAATAGAGTACAAGAAAAGAAAAAATGATGCTAAGAAGCAAGTGCACAATCATCTCGATAGAAATTTAGAGTTCTCATTTGGTCTGAAATTCAGCATAACCTCATTACATTTTTCTACACAAAATATGAGAATGTTTATTCCTTCATTTCTAGGAGCGTTTAGAGTCCAGTGAAGCTCTCCCTCTAAACTTCATCCTAATGGGGATCGATTCGACTTCTCGACAAAATTTGCGCAGATTTTTTCCGGAGACATTCAAGTTTCTTTCAGACGATCCAAGCACCTTAGACTTCATGGGCTACAACAAGGTGGCAGACAATACTGATGTGAACGTTTCACCCGTCATCATGGGCAATCGCGCAGAAGACCTAATGAGCTTCAAATTGGACTGCTACAAGAAACAAAAAGCTAACTTCGACAGTTGTCCTTTCATTTGGAAGAACTTCTCCGCTCAAGGCTACGCAACGGTGTACTCTGAAGACGCACCCAGTATGGGACTCTACCACTTCAATAAAATCGGATTTGTTCAACCCCCTGTTGATTTCTATGCTCGCCCATACATGTTGCTCTCCGAAAAAGAGATCGGCCATCCTAAAGACGTTTATAACCACTACTGCTATGGCCTACAGGCCAGTACGGAGGTAGTTTACGATCAAATTATGAGGGCTCTAGATAATCTATCCGATCAGGTGCCTGTATTTGGATACTTCTGGAGCGCCACTTACACACACGGCAGTAATCAGAACGCAGCCCCTCTAGACAAACCAACACTACGTTTCCTAGAAAAATTTACACAATCACCTCATCGTAACAACACCATTCTCCTTTTCTTCAGTGACCACGGCCTTAGATTTGGCGACATACGATCTACCTACCTTGGTGCCTTGGAAGAAAGATTACCGTTCGTAACCATGCTATTTCCTCCATGGTTCAAAGATGAGTTTCCGGAAACATGGCGTAACTTACTAACCAACCAACGACGCTTGACGAACAACTACGACTTGCATAGCACCCTTCTTGACATATTACACGGGGCCTATAATGCCTCATTAGACCTTAAAACACTTGCTGGACGGGGACAAAGCCTATTTCTGGAGGTTCCAACGAACAGGACGTGCGAATCAATTCATATTCCATGGCATTACTGCGCCTGTCAGTCTTCCTTACCTGCGAACACTCAGAATTCGGACGTCAAGCAAGCGGCACAAGTTCTCACGCAAGCCATAAATAAGCTTATTGAAAAACATCCCGAGTGTTCTAGGTTGGAAATCAAGGAAGTGAGTTATAGTAACGTATTTCAGTGTTTTGTATTCACAGTGCAAATTTATCGAAACAGAATAACCCCAAAATACATCAAATACTTGATTTGATTTACCTACACCGATATCATGAACTTTCTTCGTTGACTTTAAAAATGCAAGTATGCGTAACAATTTAGCTGTTATGCACGCAGCTCCTAATATGACTCCGACTACTCCTACCGTGAAAATTTTTATTAACTTTCAATGAATTTTCTTCTAACAGATCATTAGTGCTCGAGAGTACCTGAATCACGAGAAATTTGGCGAAGGAACCGTCAAGAAAAAACTAGAGAAGTGGACGACGTATTCCGTGATGATCGAAACCACGCCAGGTGAGACTTGTCGGAGAAAGTATGAGACTTGTAAGTTTGTGAGACTTGCGGGCAGCCATTAAATGTTGCGAATAGTGGCCGAATTGTATGGACAATGCGATTAATATACATAGACATTTGTTCCTACTTCAGCTTCAAAGGGTGGAGAAGTAAAAGGAGTTTTCGTCAATTATATTGCTTAAAATTACTTACAATGTCAATGTACTGCAGCATGGCACAGGGCAGGCATAGAGCAGAAATTTTCTGGGCCGCGAAACTTGTGTATTAATATTACCTATAGGTGTGAGTTGAGCTCAGCCCAAATTTTAGAGTGGGTAAAGTTACTTAACAGACAACATGTCTGCTGAATTTTAATGATCAAGAATTATTTCGTTGACCAATGTATTGACCATTGATAGTAATTTTCACTTGTTAAGTTACGAATATCAAGCTATCAAAATTTTGAATGTCGCATCGCTGTATTTTGAAACAACAACATTGTGTATACTTAAATAATCTTAGTTTTTATGAGAGTAAATATATTTCTTAGTTGAGTAAATAACGGTTTGAACATCGTCAAATAACTCGAATCTTTACTAAACATCTTGAATGACGTCCTAAAAATGTGAAAATTCAAACTCTAGATATAGACTAAGTATCTACAGAGTATACCTTGATCGTTGATTTCATTATTAGACCAAGAAGTATTATTTAAATTACTGCAGCCTATAAGTCTTTAAATTGTTTTTCAAATAACACTTACCATTATATCCAGTGATTGCAAATATCATTTCCATATATTTTTCTGTTCAGGAGGCGGCCATTTCGAAGGATCTGTCGTCAAGGGACACAACAAGTCTTGGAAAGTTTTAGAAGACATTTCACGGATAAATCTGTACGGAAACCAAAGCACTTGCATTGAAGACACAGAACTGAAGAAAATATGTCACTGTAGATAACAAAAAATTATTATTTTTTAATTAATAATAACATACGCTTTACTTTGTAATGTCCATTCCATGCCTTATTAACGTCATGGGCGCCAGCAATGTTAGAATTGAGTCTATCTGTCATGTGTAACAGGAGTGACATGTGTGACAGGAGGTTCGATTTCCTGTGTTCTCTTGATTCGTGTGAAACTCTGATTTTCATGCGTGTATTCAACTGCTAATGTTGAGATTCTTACAGAGTTTTCCTAATCTTAATTCTTACATCCGTCATGTGTTTATTCTATTATCTAAGTGCCTGAAGAATAGGAGTATAATGTGTTACATCAATACTATAAATCTAGAGTCTAGAAGACAGAGCCGCTTCCTTATGCCAATGGTTTCTAAACTGATACGCGTACCATTAGTGGCTGGCAAAAACCTTCGGTACCACGAATAATTAAAGCTGTTTTAGTCTTACTTCAAAAATGGTTATGTTTAGCACAGCGAGTTCCAATTAACAGTATCCACACGTTACGTAGATGTTCTCAGCGCGACTTGGAGTTAAATTCAAGCATTAAACTTACTCAAACTTAGCGCCTTGAGCAAATGAAATGCAACTAATACCACATTTTAGAGAGTAATATAGTATATATTTAGTGCCCTATCAAAATTTGGCGAGCCTGGCGAGCCTGAATTAGGAACCGCCTAGGACTCGGACCGAACGTATATCAGCTTCTCTATGTCCGCTTTTTGGTCTACATTCCGATCCCCGATTCAGACGGCTACCAGAGCCTGGTGAGGGGACTGAGGGGATTCTGCCAACTCTTGCCCTACTCTCAGGAGACCATAAAGTCGGTCAGGAGATTCTGACTAGACGCTGATTGCGATCAGTTGGCCAACTGACCCAGAATAACTTTGCGCCGAGTGTAGTGACTATTCGGCCGAAGCCTAGGCGGTCCCCGAATTTTGTTAGGGTGGTAGGCAGAGACTGCACAAAACTTGCATCTGGTACACGTTTGTACCAGATGCAAACGTACAAAAATATATACTCTCTTCCGTGACTGAAATAAGTCTCATGCAGATTCCAGCGATGTCAAAAGGAATCTATCTCCAATGTACATAGTCTATCCATTCATTGTGGGTGTGATGTCGTGTGTTCTAACTTCTGAGGATAATTCTCTATTTCAACATCATCGCGCGTTGTAATATTTCGTGTCGTTTTACGCCTTGCAGCTTGATTATCCTTAGTGTTCGAAAAAGCATCTACCATCAAACATCAAAGTTTTCGAAAAAACATCAATTTCGTTTCTACGATGGCATTTTCCCAATTGAAGTCTGATCAAATAACATAGAAGAATTTTTTATAAAGTATCAGTGCAACGAAAGTTTAACTCTGCTGAAGGATTCGTGTACTATCATATATATTAAGTAATGAATGTGTTGAATGCTATGTCATAGATACGGAGAATGGGCCACGTATTAGTTACGATTTCTTGCGCTGTCTTGATTCGTGTGAAGCTTTGAATTTCATGTGTGCATTCAATTGTTAATGCTGAGATTCTTACATGATGCACTAGGTTTTTGTAATGAAACATTTTTTCAACGGATGTATGTTTTAAACCTTAATTACGTGATATTCAAATGCCATCCTATCCAAGGAGAAACATACTTAAATGCTTAAATCTTTTACGATGAATCAGTCTTTGAAAAATCTGAAGAGGATTTTTTTGGTTACGTTCCTTAACACGGCAGTCATTACTCAAAAACGTCAAGTAGAATAAATTTGATACTCATAATAGATCAACTCGCAAAACGTTATCTTTCAAATCCTAAGTATAAGGAAAATTTTCCCCTAAATTTTTTCAGTTCATAGTTACGCTAGATTATCATACATTTACCTAAGATTACGCTTAAAGGAGTCAAAAAGTCCCAGTGGATGAACAGTACAGTTAAAGCTCAGCTAAAGACCAAGAAAGAAGTCTATAAGCGTTATTTACGAACTCGCAGCGATCACGATTATAACAGTGAAAAACTTCGAAAAAATATTGCTAAAAATGCAAAAAAGAATCCAAAAGCCTTCTTTTTGTAAGTGTGAATCATGAGGAATAGGAATATTTTCTTTGCTTTTAAATTCCTTGTGAACTTGCGATATAAGCAGACTAATGATATAAGTACTTGAATAGGACGAAGTGTTGCTCAAGTGTTTAGTAGGAATGAAAATGACATAGGCCGGACTCAATCCACTGAGTAGAAAATTGAGCTGTTAGACGATACGCCGGTTTATGAACGTCGATCCACGCCCTTCTCCGAAACCTACTGAAGACCTGATTAACAAACAATGTGATGATTTGCATGCATTAGGAATCATAGAACCTAGTTCGGCAGGAGCGGCTCACTTTCTGTGTGCCTACAGTAAATTACGTAATTTAACGATGCCCGGAAGTAATATTCGATCTGCGGCCTGGTGGTGCACGGCAGGTTCTATGCAAAGCCGGAGGAGGACAAAGCCGAGTCGTTTACGGCTGATTGATGCATGTCCGGAGAGATCCAAGGCGTTCGATTCAGGGCTTATTGGTGCACAAAATTGGTGGTGCACGGCTGCGCTCCCGAATTATTCGGACCCGTAAATTCGTAGAAGCAGTCTTAAATTATCCCAGACCACAAACAGTCCGAGACTTGCAGAAATTTTTAGGCTTGATAAATTTTCAAAGAAAGTTTGTACTATTCTGTTCAGACCTCTTGCAACCTGTCTAAATTTACTGGCAAGCGCGGCTCTGTTAAACTCAAATGGTCAGACCAAATGCTCGAGTTTTTCGAGACTTTAGAGAAACTCGTTGCCGAGAAATGCTCACTAGTCTATCCCGATTATTCGCCAGATGCTCAGAAGCTTGAGCTTTGGGTGGATGCTTCGGCAACCGGAGCCGGTGCTTGCTTGGTGCAAAAGCAGGAGGGCGTTTTAAAAGTCATTAAAATTAAATCTTAAAACAAATTTTTTTAAATCTTAAAATTCAAAAGAATTATTCTAGAATCGAAAGGGATCCAGCTGCATTGCGCTGGGCAGTGAAAAACTTACGACCTTTCTTGTACGGCATTGATTTCATTGCGCACACTGATCGCCAAGCTCTTGTGTATTTGCATAATATGAAGCTAGTTAGCAGCAAGCTAGCTCAAACTGTTGAGAATTCAGCAGAGTTCAGTTTTGAGATTAAGTTCACTCCTAGTAGCCGAAATGCCGCGGACCAACTGTCTCGGTGGACCTCTGCCCCTGATATCGAGACAGAGTGTGATAATGACCAACCGTTGCCTCTTAATTGGATTGATTTTGGACGGCCCGCTCGCTTCAGGGGGTGGCGACTCTTTATTCATGAGACTTCATAGGGTATGATGCAGGAGTTGTAGAGAAATAACCGGTCGTAAGTCTCATGTTGAACTCGGTCAGATATTAATAGATGTTATTTTTTCTGATCTCAAAAGTTATAATCTGTCTGCAAACTCAAAGACAAAAAGTGCGTTGAAATTAATGAAAATTCGAGGTAATTTGCCGTGTTTGTTGTATGCTACCAGCAAATTGTTTAATGTGAGAATCGATGTGCATTACGGTGATAAATCTGTAATTTATAAACATGACTCGTGTTATGACGATGAAGTTGTATCTTTGAAATGTCTGGCATGTATCCACTATAATCCGTTAATAGATTTGAAAGATTTTTCTCCTCCTAAATTAAAACTCTTAAATCAAATTAAAATTAGAGCAAACTCCGTTTTAGGCTGTTTGCTTTTAACATGTTGAAAGCGCTATTTGATCTTTTCGATTGGTTCTTCCTCGAATTTAATTCGAAAAAATTAAACTTAAAATTGACGACATCGTTTCAGGTGAGCTAATGACGGAGCCTGTTGAGGACGAAGAGTATAATCTTGACAATTTGTTTTGCCAGGTGGAAGAATGTAACGTCCAAGAGACTAATCTTCCACAGGTCAACATTTGCGTCCAAGGTGTGTCATGTTGTGCCCCTGTTGATACGGGAACTCAAGTGAGTCTAATTACGGTAGGTTTCATGCAAACCCTTAGTCAAGGCACCGAGAAGATTTTAAGTGATCATTCTCTTGAACTGGTTATGATTGACTTGTGCTAAACACGTCGTTTCTGTTGTAACTGCACTACATGCAGATACAACTTTGCGAGTCAGTCAAAATACACGATTTTTGTATTGTTCTAAATGATATTTAGCCCTGTTCTATGTTGTTAGGCTTAGATTTTCCTGCTTTGCATAAAATTTGATTGAACTTTGTAACCATGACTTGCTGAAGTAGCAATGGTGTAATTCAGCCCATTTTGGGCCGACACTCGTCGAACCCGCTGATTTCTGTTAACGCAGCTATGGCGCTGACCCGCAACAATGACGTGCCGCCAGGTACGTCCGTCAATGATACCTCTTATCATGTGAATTCTTTGGAATCTTTGGGTGGTAAAGAGGAATAGCGGGAAATTCAAATGCAAGTCACAATTCTACGCAAGTTGTGCAATGTTGTCAAACATAATGTATCTCGTGAATTGTGGCGCGATTCCTGTAGGCCTTTTCAGCGATTTGTGCAATTTATAAGATTTGAGAATGATTTGTTGTTGTTCAAGAAGACCGTGACTGTGCCAATATTTACTTACGACTGTTCTTTTTAATTTAGTTGTAGAAATTTATCGCTGTGTAGCGGGCCAATTTTTGGCCGCTCTGTTAGTTTTAAGTCGGCGTAATTCTCCAACTATGACTGAAGATGAAAAGTATAGGAACGCATCTTTCTTAGTACGTGGTGATCAGTCTGTAGCTTGGCTCCACTTTGAGCTTCTGTCACTGACCTTTTGTTAGCACTTTCGCTTGCTGTAATGTAATTGTGTTTCCGTTCTATGAACACCGTGCAAGCCTCTCATAATCAAAGGTTTAAGTAAATACATTACGTGTTCCTTTCCAAATTCGAATGTTGTTATTAGTGAACCGCGTATGTTAGGGCCCGCGGGCAGAGACCCATGATGGTTGAATGTGGCTAGTTGTCCCGCTACAGTAGTATGGCTCCTGTCGGCAGAGATAAAATGTTGAACTTGCTAAATTCAACGGCCTGGCACCCAGAAGTATATCGGGTGGTTAATTAAGGATGTTTGCACGATGTGCCATCACTGTCATATCTTTAAAGCCAGTGGGTCGGTGGTCGTTCCTCCAGCCTGGAAGATCGTCACCAGTCGCCCTTTCGAGATGGTCGCTGTAGATCTCGTCTCGTTTCCGACGAGTACTAGTCGCCATGTAGCAGCGCTGGTCTTAGTGGATCTACACAGTAAGTGGCTGTGCGCTGTTGCGTTGAAAGATAAAACCAGTCACTAGGGCGTTTATGCTTTAAACAGAATTATTCTTCCTACTTTACTAGCCTTACCATCCCGTCTCCTTAGCTATAATGGACCAGAGTTCAGATAAGACTTGTTTAGAGAAACGTTTGAGTCCTGGCGAATCAAACATGTCTAGCTTGGCCACTCCTCATAAAACCGCAAGCAATGAAGGGGCGGAGAGAGCCATAGACGCTTTAAGTTTAAGGTTTTCTGCGTGGTCTTTGTTCGCAGGGAGGGAACTGGGATGTAAAATTACCACAAGATGTTTCGGTTTATAATCGTACTGTCCACAGAGAAATTGGTGCTTCTCTTTCACGATATTTGTTGCAAATGTCTCGTATGTCACAACCTGTGTACGTCCCAGATACGCGGAAGCTTGGTCATCCTGCGTTACAGTTTCATTCCGGTACGTGGGTCCTGAAGCGAATATGCACGTCAGGAAGGTCGAACGTTGATAAATTCAGCCCTGTGTACGAGGGTCCTTTTGAGGTGAAGCGGATCAACGAGATCGCAGTGACGTACGAGCTGCTCCATGTGAATACCGGCAAGTCCGTAAAGACGCATCACAAGTTTTTGAAAAGGTATAATGCTCCTCCATTGTATATTATAAGAAACGAAATGCTCAATATGATGGAATGAGAAGGTTCTCCCGATTCTCTCTGTAACGGTCCTAATATGCCTATTAGCGATGTTAACTCGGATATTGCTTAGGATAGTGACAGCGATTCCTCCTCAAGTACTACCAGTTGTGTTGTATTCTTATGATCGTTACAGGAGCAAAGATGTGAATTTGGCGCCCGTGGGAGGTTCTAATTTTCCTGTTGTTCATGATGGAAATTATTCTCTGTACGTATGCATCAGGAAGCTGTGGGGCCTGCGAGCAGTTGCAATTAGGTTCTGTTCCGATAGGAGAGCGGCCTCTGAAGTCTTTCTGAAGTCAACCCAAATTGAATTACAAAAATTAACTAATAAATTATAAAACTGCAGAGACTTATTAATGGACAGTGGACATGCCTAATATACGCTAACATATCTCACTTCCCCCTGCAGCCATTGACCATTTCATAATAGAAATTCAGCCAAGAAATGAAGCTTATCTTTTTTAGACGTAGATCCTTTTGCCCTTTGGATCGAAACCGACTCGATTACATCATTATGCTTTTTCTAAAGTGACCTCAAACTTCTGTTTGACTTATTAACAATTATCCGATTAATTCGCTACCGTTTCACATGGAGAAAGAGACAATGAATGACTCGTGCGGTATCAAAAATTCAGCTAAATTGCATGACATTCAGTAGCTTAATATTTCTTTCGAAAACTAAAATCCAGTATCAGTCGGACAAGTTTCTCTGCAAACATCTGACGCAAGGCGGCCACTCACAATAGAGACTTGGGACGAACAACTGCACCTACGTAACGATAACTTCGAGCTGTACTTGCGTACACGTACGAGCTGCTCCTCAGGGTTTGTGCGCGTAATATGAGCTGAAAATTAGAGACCAGCAGTCAGAACTCTACAATTTAATTTCAGTTATCGTGTAGCATGCCGTCCTTTGGTGTGTAGAGTGTGATGTCTAGGCTGCAGAACATTGCTCAACTTCTGCCTTCATGTTTTTCTTTACACGTTCTTAAATTCTAATTCAGGTAGCCTACATATAATATCCAGCGTGTGATAAAACGGTTTCGAATGTTTTCTCATACCTACTGAGTTAATGTTTAATCCGCTATTCCAATCGATAATTTCTTGCTACCGATTCAACTTTCAGATTTTATTTTCTTTTGGTTATTTTTATTATTTTTTATGAATTAATCAGCCTGCCACAAGTAGCAAAATGAAGCCCATCGCATATTTTTTTATTGAGGCTCACTGGTTCGTGTCGTGTCGTTCACCTAATGGCTGGCAATGGAACATTACTGGCAACCCATTGCCTTTCAAAGTGAGTATTACTATGATTTTTGTAGCCATGAGGTCCAATCCTTGCAATTACGTGACGAATTACTTACTTATCCCGAACGATCCATTTAAATTATAAACAAGCATGTTATTGAAGCTAAAGTAGAATGCCTTTTGCAAGAGTGCTTCGATATCTCTCCTGATTTGTATAGATTGTGTTGAAAATAATTCAGACTGGGTATTTTCGTCGTTGTTCTGATGGAGACACACTACAATTGTCATACCCATAGCAAGCTGCTTTATCTTAGATAAAAGTGTCAGATACTCACTGGGCGATTAATGCTACAGTGTACCCATGCGGTGCATTCAGGGTTATGTATTTAAGCTACGAAGCATCTGAGTGTCATCAATAATACCGGCTGTCACGCTCTCTATATGGGTATAATGTCTTCTATAAGTATATATTTTATATGTTATTTACGTTCTTTCTCATGAACAGGAAGATAGAGAGAGTTATGTTTCCGATTTTAATTCAATTATAAATATTCAAAAGGAACTCAGATAGTTGTAAAAATTTGCACCAGGTTGACACCATACAACAACGCTATCATGCAACCATTAAAATTAGATAATAGTAGCCATACTCCCCCCAGCCCCACAACGCTACATTCAACATATCACGCAAAATTCACAACTTGTCTCGTACCTAACAACAATACAACCGTATAACGCACATCGCAAAATGCGGGATCATATAATATTCCTATAAATGAATACTAACCGAACAATTTATTCGGCAAATATCTAAATAAGTAAGAAACATCTTGTGTGTTCCTTCTCCTTAACAACAATACATGGGTCCTTACTTTCAAAACTAAAGTCCACGTAGCGACCTAGGTACACATAGCGACCTAATTAAGTACACGTAGCGACCTAAGTACACGTAGCGACCCAAGTACACATAGCGACAAAGTACACGTAGCGACCTAGGTACACATAGCGACCTAATTAAGTATACGTAGCGACCTAAGTACACGTTGCGACCTAAGTACACTTAGCGACCTAAATTAATACACGTAGCGACATAAGTACCCGTAACGGTCGATTTCTCGTGTCTGATTGGTGGGTTTACGTCAGTTTTTGGCTACCGGAGTCGCGTACTTCTAAATATTTTTAATAGTACGGCCGCAGAAACTTAAGGCGGAATGCAGCCCTTGCCAGTGAAGAACAATTAAGCCCAGATTTTATTAAAATATAATAATTGAAGTCTTTTTAAAGAAATCTGTATTAAAATTCTTCGTACAATGTTCAGAACCGCAGACCATATAATGATCGTTGAACTTTCTGTTCTTTTTAGCTTCGAAAGTATACAGAACTAATGAACATTCTACAAATGAATGAATTTCATCGCAAATAAGATTGCACATGTAAGCAAATATATCATGTTCATTTCAGGCGGCACTTGAAGCTGGTATGAATTTTTTATTACGTGAGGTGGTACGAATTGTCGTTCAGACGCCCCTAGATTGTTGGCGTCTGCTTAGAATAAACTAAACGAAAAAAATGACATTTTAGTGAAAAAATTCATTTCTTTTGATACAAATAGTAATTGTGAGGGGGCATCTTGGTTTAATGAATTTGTTGCTTAGGATACAAATAATAAATGAGACGGCATATTAGTTATATTAATTTATTTATTAGGATACACCTAATAATTGACACGACATCTTAGTTAAATGAATTCATCTATAAGCATATAAATAGTAATTGCGATGAAATCTTAATTAAATGAATTCATTTCACCTGCTGGGAAGAGGCATAAGCAGATGCCAGCACCTGCACTGTTCATGTGACGCAATCTTGGTAATACAGAAGTGGTAGTCAACCGCACGCTCTCAGGGCATGACTCGGCCGAGTCTTGCTGGGATGCAGCGACGCTCTCAGGGCATGACTCGGCCGAGTCTTGCTTGGATGCAGTGATGATGCAAACTGCGATTGAAAAGTAAAAGGTTCATTTGGCAACGGAACAAGAATGAAATAAATATTTTACTTAACGATACGTGTTATGGTTTTGACTTCTTTAAAATTTAAGCTTAAAACGCTTCACCAGTGAAATAATTGGGGACAAAAATATTTCGTACACCAATTAAAATTTCAGAGGAAAATAATTTATTTTTAACTAGTAAATATATAGTAACTAGTATTCCTAACAAATGTTTATTCTTCAATGTTATTCTCATTGATCAAATAATATCTTTTCGCCAGAATATATATATTTAAAAAATTGGCCCGTTGTCGCAGCAATTCTCCAATTGGCAGGCTCAGAATTCAACTTGAATGTTGATTGGCTGATGAATCTATGGTGTCTTAATTACTAATCACTGTATTTCTTCCCAGAAAATCAGCTTATCTTCTAAATTTCATCATATAGTCGCTATAATCGATTTTAAACAGTGCCGTTTCGGAGTCCAGCCCCATCGTCAGTTCGTAGAATCTAGAATTCACATAGGAAGTCACAAATTAGTACAATTGAAAGCACAGAACACAATTAAAAACCTAAGTTTACAATAATAGGGCACAAAACCTATTTATTCACAATTTCAAGGGGATAGGAGCTAACAGCTGAATTTAAACTGGGCCGAAGTTTAAAAATGTACAATGATTCTAAAATACGCAAATCTGAAGTACCGTGGGTGGAAGCTAACACTCTAAACTCTAAAGTCACTGTCAGAAACAGGGACATCACACTGCTCGGCGTGAGTGCGCACAGCCGAATGAGGGGGGCGCGATAGCCACTGTCTGGTTCTACAACTCCTGCCCTTATGCTCAGCGGCCCTGGAATAAAGATTGCGTGACGTCATCCCGACGTACGCAGATACACATTGTGCACAACGAAATTGATAAACCAGGGACGATCGCATATGAGCAGTGAGCATATCTTTATAGCTAAAGAAAGAACCGATTTTAAACCTGTTTACCAGAACAATATGAAGTTTGACGTTTGGAAAGCATCTATCGAACAAGACTTTTAATTCTCTTGACATAGCTTCGGACGCAGGGCCAAACTATGGAAAAGAACATTAAATAACGTTCCTACTATCGCGCTCGGGAGCAACCTCACTGAATCGCTTCGACATGAATTTCTTGATTTGGGTATAGACCAAAGTTGCCGGAAATCCATTGAGCGAGAAAATATTTCGTAAAAATTCAAATTCAGCGTGCATAGCATGGTATGTTGAACAAATGCGAAAACCTCTGTATAATAAAGTTTGAAGCCCATTTACCTTGAACCGGAATGAACAAAAACTAAAGAAACTGGTATTTAGACCGGTGAATGTTGGTTTTCGGAACACAGAAGTCAAAAAACGGCTATTAGGTTTTGTAATATTGCAATCGAGGAAGGACAAACTATTGTTAGATTCAAGCTCCATAGTAAATGTGATAAAATTTTGTTGTGAGTTTAGATAATCAAAGAAATTTCTTTGCTTTTAAATTATAACTTATTATTCCTCATTTATTCCTCTGTTTACTTGCAAGGAAAGAACCCTTCAATTCATCTAGGAGAAAATAATTGTTCGGAAATCAGAACGTACTGACAAATTTCTTCTGGAATATTGACTCCTCTATTTTTACAACACTTCTCTTTAACTTCATTTCTTGTTTGTCTGTCTGTCTGTCTGCTACAAATCTTAAAATCGATATTTAACACACTTCTACCTGTCCAATCGATTTGAAATTTGGCACACTTGCGTAAAGTTGGAGACAATGCATGAATCAATTAACAGAATAAATAATTTTATAAATTAAATTTTTTTTCAATATTAAAAAAATTAAAAAAATAATTTCGTCTCCTACAAATCTTATAATCCATATATGACACAATTTGACCTGTCCAATTGATCTGAAATTTTGCACAATTGCATAAAGTCAGAGACAATGCGTTAACCAATTGACAGAATAAATAATTTTTAAAATTTACAAAATTTTGATATCTTAAAAAATTTGAAGAATAATTTTTTTCCAATATTTGAAAATGAAATTAGAAATTCATTGTACATGTGTAACATCCAAGATACTGGATTGTCCAGAAGTGTTGTCTTTAAAGAGCAATTTTTAAACGCATATTATTACATTTCAATTCTTTTTCAGAGAGTATTTTAAAAATCCTCTCGACTTCTTTCCATACATTTGTACTCTTCATGGGAGGCTCCCGGACTTCTTTTTCTGGGATTTTTACTTCAAACCTATGAATTATTTTCATCGTGACAGCTACCGTTGCAACGAACGAGAGCGAGGTCGGCCCTCCAGCGCCCGAAGCAGCGCGTCTGCGGTTGCCTACAACGTCGCAAGGTCTCGCTTCGTTCAAACGCTTACGTACTGCATTAATATCCTCTATATTTGCACGCGACTTGCACGAAATAGGCGTGAACCGGCCACTCGAACTTTTCAACTTAGTCTCATTTAAATTTCGGTTACTATAGGTCCACCCGCCTCATGAGTTATTGGTAAGATTTAACTTGCCTTAACAGTGGACACTCACGCGTGTAAAATTGCCGGACGTTAAATCGGTTTCATTCACCCTCAAAGTGTTATTGCTGCGGGTGGGTACTGATGAACATTGTTCTTCTTATATCAATCATGTGATCGATGTTATAAAATGAGAAAATTGGTTTGAAGTAAAATGCTCAAATAAATAATGAGTTTCACGCATTATAGTGAAACTCAATAATCTCCAAGAACACGTTTCGGCTCTCTAGAGTGACTAGACGGAGCGAGTCAACAATGACATGGTATTATTCTTCTAACTTCTAATAGCGTTTGCAATTCGCCGATTGCATTTAGTTGTCTTTTTGCTATTCGCGGATTGCCATTTTCCTTTTATTACTTCTTTGTTTCACGTTTCAGATATAGTATTAAAGCATTCTAAGTGCAAAATTCCTATCACCATATAACAAATGGGCAAAGACTATAGTTTCAGATAACAGATTTTATCTCCTTGCTAAAATGCGCCCAAAGGCCCCGGATTGAAGGAATACATGATTTAAAAATTAAACTATAATTGCTTTTTGCTCATTAGCGGGCAAGTTACTAATAGTCGTTCAAATCTCCTAAAGAGACCCACAACAGCCTCCACTTCCTGCTTGCTGCTACATTATCATGCTCTCTCAATCATCTGTCATCCGACCATCGTTCCATCATCCCCAACCATGCCCGAAAATTAAAATGTGAGCATTTCAATTCAAGTTCTGGCCGGAATACGAAATTTACTCATTCCCGCATTTTTTAAGGCGGAAGTATCAATTATTATCTATTAAATCTATCTATCTATTAAATTAAATTAATTGCAAATATTCTATAGTATTAACTTGAAGTTGGATAGTTACTCTTCACATTTGCATCTTTAACTTTAAATTACATCAATTTTTGTGAGCTAGTGGCCGTATTTAATACGTTCTTTAACTGCGATTTACTCCTTCAATAAGCAGATTTTTCAGAAAATCCATAGTTGCAAATGTATCTTAGATTGAAATGTTTGCTATTAATGGGTTCAACGGAACGGCAGAAAATGTTCATGCTTGAAATGTGATTAGATGACAGCTTTCATGCATCTTATCACCCCATTGCTCGCTATCTCCCATAAGGTGCCCTTTCCCATAACTGTTTCTCGTGTTGCTTTGAAACAATTTGCTTTGTCATGAAGATATTCCTTGATTTTCTTCTGCCATAGAGCTTATAATATTGTTGTCCCTTCACTATTTCACCCTTCACGCACTGTAGGCCTGCAATGCATGACCTTATGACCTTATGATGTCTATAAATATATATAATAATTATTAATTCGTCTATAAATGAATTAATTACAAATTGTTTATTCGCAGTAGATGGCATGCATTTGGGGTACCTCATCGACACACCATCTTGCAGAATGCCTGACTACGATCCTTATGACGTCAGCATCAAGAAATTCATCAAAAAGCCCTTCAAGGTTAGTGAGCACGCCCTTAGCATCTAATATCAGCTAGTTCAATATGTCCTATTGAGATTGTCAGAATTTATCTCTTCACTTACATTATCTATAATGACGTCGTTAACCCTCTACCGCCTGGCATGAGTAACCGGATCAATATTGTCACAAGCCTTCTTCCAAGAAGGATACATAAAAGCGAGCGCAAAATGACTTGCACTGATGGTTGCCGCCACATACAACAACTTTAAAATTTTCTCTTTTGCGTACAAACGTCCTCAGGTTACTACACTCAATAGTTTACGCATAATTTAAGCTGAAAGTTATGTTTACGGAGAGTGACACACGGCGGTAGAGGGTTAAATGGTTTTGTTTTCAGCGCTTCCCATGATGCTAGCAATAATATTCCTCTATTGCAGAGGTCAACGCGTTTATTTTGAATATTCAGCTAAATTTCATTTTCCGACAAAGAATATCAATCCCATTTAGATTAATACCACCTCTTTGTACTATAGAAACCTATTCTAAGACATCCATCTATTAATCAAATATCCGTCTCTCTCTTCCACAGAGTTTCTCGTTTTGCATCTAATTCATTTCAATGAAATTTCCTGTTGATTTTAATATGCTATGTGTTAGGATTGACAATTAGATGATTATCGCCAGATATTAAATGGGAGTGCATCAACATAACCACATAATTATGAATTATACAAATTTCATTCAGTCACTAGTCGCGTTTAGATCAAAATGAACACAAACGCCACATCACAGACGCAAACCCACATTCTACGGCACAGTCTATCTGGCTTAGATCGACTTATATTTCATTTTTAACACTGTTATCTTTATCTTTCATTCTACGCTTATTTTGCTACTTTAATTTTACGGTTTTCGAAATTATTGCCGTCTCATAATAGTTCACTAATTATGCACATGGGCAAATCAAGATTATTTTTTGATAAAGCATTCTCAACTGATATATCAATGTAGACGTTTTTGAATTTAAATTTGCTTGTGTTTTCGATTATGACAACATTCATCTCAGACGAAGTTTATACTGCAGTGTAGAGTAAGGTCCCCCAACATGATGTGGTCGTTCACCATTTAATTGGAGGTTCACCCAAAACGTACCATGAATCCTACCCATTAATCACATATATTTAACATTTTATTTTATAACATTCAATGATAATCAGCAGTGCAGTAGATCGTGCATGATATTGTATGTGTTCGCGTACCTCCCTGCAGACCCTCCCGTATATGACAGTTTGAGCACCTCAGCTCCGAAGAATCGAACTTTTTGGAGGACTACAGTATATCTTGACATGTCTAATTGTTCTCAGATGTGTTAGAATATTTATTTATTACCCTAAATCAACATCAGATGGTCTGCAATCCTGAGAATTTGAGCCCCTTTACCTTCACTGAAGGATTCAGGATCAAGATTAATGAGGACCCCAAGTTAATGGCACTTACGATGTGACGCTCGACTCGCTGTCGTGCTGTGTTCACGAGGTCACCAGGACCACGCAATCCTTCAAAAAGTTCGATGCGAACTGTGATAACAAATACAAGTAAGCGTGAGTACAGACACAGGAAGTTTTTGTTTGATTTCATTCCTTTGAATGTGTTGTCAGTTCATTTTAGGGCTTAGGATGTTAGCACACAACTTGACGAGCATTCTGTGTAGTGTTAAGCGTTGCACATCTCCTTAATTGACAAACGACACAAAGCTTCTCCTGTCTAAAACTTCCCCATATTAGATTTCGAAGTACAAAGCTGAAAGCTTTAACTCTCAAACAACAATTTTTATTATCTATAAGTGATCATGTGCTTTGCTGGTAAATCTGAAACGAACTAAGTTTCAAACGAACTAATGTTTTTTAACGAACTAAGTCCTGAAAATAAATTACTGTAGAGTAGAGGAACCAAAATTGTTTGTAATTGCTTCTCAGTGCTGATGATATAAATATGGAACAAAATTATGAATGAAATTTCTCATATTGCGCAAATATCAATTAATGTGCTCAATAATTCAAATTCTATTGTGTTGGTATGGCGCAGAACGAGCAAGTGTCATCTGATCGTCAACGGCACTTCTGCAGAAGTCACAACAGACGGAGCTTTTGTCGTCTGCTCAAAAAACAACTCGAAATCTAAGCCATTCTACAAGAACGTCCACTATTTCTTCCACACGGAAAAAATACGCGACAAAATTGCCACTCACAAAGTAAGTTCAATATAAACTCATAAAAACCGTGGTTTAGATATTTCTCGACTTACGTTGGAGAGAATACCTCTCTGATTGACTCCCATGGAATTTGAAAAGTATATATTTTAATCGAATTCTAAGTTTAATTTCAAATAATAGAGTACAGGAAAGGAAAAATTGATGCCTAGAAGCAAGTGCGCAATTGTCGCGAAAGACATTTCGAGTTCTCATTTTTTTTTCTAAAATTCAGCAGAACCTTATTACATTTTTGCACACAAAATATGAGTATGTTTATTTTTTCATTTCTAGGAGCGTTTAGAGTCCAGTGAAGCTCTTCCTTTAAACTTCATCCTAATGGGGATCGATTCGACTTTTCGACAAAATTTGCGCAGATATTTTCCGGAAACATTCAAATTTCTTTCGGACGATCCTAGCACCTTAGACTTCATGGGCTACAACAAGGTGGCAGACAATACTGATGTGAATGTTTCACCCGTCATCATGGGCAATCGCGCAGAAGACCTAATGAGCTTCAAATTGGACTGCTACAAGAAACAAAAAGCTAACTTCGACAGTTGTCCTTTCATTTGGAAGAACTTCTCCGCTCAAGGCTACGCAACTGTGTACTCCGAAGACGCACCCAGTATGGGACTCTACCACTTCAATAAAATCGGATTTGTTCAACCACCTGTTGATTTCTATGCTCGGCCATACATGTTGCTCTCTGAAAAAGAGATCGGCCATCCTAAAGACGTGAACCACTACTGCTATGGTCTTCAGGCCAGTACGGAGGTAGTTTACGATCAAATTATGAGGGCTCTCGATAACCTATCCGATGATGTGCCTGTGTTTGGATACTTCTGGAGCGCCACTTACACACACGGCAGTAATCAGAACGCAGCCCCTCTAGACAAACCAACGCTACGTTTCCTAGAAAAGTTTACACAATCATCTCATCGTAATGACACCATTCTCCTCTTCTTCAGTGACCACGGCCTTAGATTTGGCGACATACGATCTACCTACCTCGGTGCCTTGGAAGAAAGGTTACCGTTCGTAACTATGCTATTTCCTCCATGGTTTAAAGATGAGTTTCCGGAAACATGGCGTAACTTACTAACCAACCAACGACGCTTGACGAACAACTACGACCTCCATAGCACCCTTCTCGACATATTACACGGGGCCTATAATGCCTCATTAGACCTTAAAACACCTGCTGGACGGGGACAAAGCCTATTTCTGGAGGTTCCAACGAACAGGACGTGCGAATCAATTCATATTCCATGGCATTACTGCGCCTGTCAATCTTCCTTACCTGCGAACATTCATAGTTCGGAGGTCAAGCAAGCGGCACAAGTTCTCACGCAAGCCATAAATAAGCTTATTGAAGAACATCCCGAGTGTTCTAGGTTGGAAATCAAGGAAGTGAGTTATAGTTACGTATTTCAGTGTTTTGTATTCACAGTGCAAATATATCGAAACGAAATAACTCCGAAATATATAAGTATGTATAACAATTTAGCTGGTAGGCACGCAGCTCCTACAATTAATGACTCCTACTACTCCTACCCTTCAAATTTTTATGAACTTTCAATGAATTTTCTTCTAACAGATCATTAGTGCTCGAGAGTATCTGAATCACGAAAAATTTGGCGAAGGAACCGTCAAGAAAAAACTAGATAAGTGGACGACGTATTCCGTGATGATCGAAACCACGCCAGGTGAGACTTGTGGGAGGAAATATGAGACTTGTGGGGAGATATTAAATGTTGCGAATAATGGCCGAATTCTATGGATAATGCGATTAATATACATAGACATTTGTTCCTACTTCAGCTTCAAATGGTGGAGAAGTTAAAAAGAGTTTTCGTCAATTATGTTGCTTAATTAACTTATAATATCAATGTTCAACACTTGATTTCTGTTAAATTTTAATGATCATAACTGTGTGTTTGGTCACGTTGACCAAAGTATTGACAATGATAGATAGACAATGATACATTTTCATTTGTAAGTTACGAATATCAAGCTATCAAAATTTCGAATGTCGCATCTCTGAACTTTGAAACAACATTGTGTATACAACATCGTGTGTTTTTATGTGAATAAATTTCTTAGTTAAGTAACTAACGGCTTGAACATCTTCAAATAACTTGAATCTTTAATAAACATCTTGAATGACATCTTAAAAATGTGAAAATTCAAATTCTAGATATAGACTGAGTATCTACGGAGTAAACCTTGATCGTTGGTTTCATTATTAGACCAAGAAGTATTACTTAAATTACTGCAGCCTATAAGTCGTTGAATTGTATTTCAGATAACAATTACTTTATTTTCCGAGATTGTAAATAACATTTACATCTATTTTTCTGTTCAGGAGGCGGCCATTTCGAAGGATCTGTCGTCAAGGGACACAACAAGTCTTGGAAAGTTCTAGAAGACATTTCACGGATAAATCTGTACGGAAACCAAAACACTTGTATTGAAGACACGGAACTGAAGAAAATATGTCACTGTAGATAACAAAAAATGATTACCATCGCCCTACCCTATCATAATAACATACTCTCTACTTTGTAATGTCTATTCCATGCCTGAGAAGCGTCATGGGCGCCAGCAATGTTAGAATTGAGTCTATCTGTCATGTGTATAATCTACTATATAAGTGCTTGAAGAATAGGAGTAAAATGGGTTCCATCAATAATAGAAATTTTGAGCCTAGAAGACAAAGCCGTTTCCTTATGCCAATGATTTTTAAACTGGTACGCATCCCATTAGTGGCAGGTAAATACTTTCGGCACCACGAATAATTTAAAGCTGTGTCAGTTTTACTTCAAAAAATGGTTAGGCTTAGCGCAACGAGTTCCAACTAACAGTTGCCACACGCTACCTACATGCTCTCAGCGGGACTCGAAGTTAAATTCAAGCATAAAATTTTTTCAAACTTAGCGCCTTGTGTGAAATGAAATGCAACTAATACTACATTTTGGAGAGTAATATGTATATTTGGTGGTACGTAACTACTGCACGAAACTTGCATGTGCTACTACACGTTTGATCGAGAAAGCCAGATCTATACTCTCTTCCGCGACTGAGATAAGGCGTAGATTCCTGCAATGTCACAACGAATCTATCTCCAATTGACATAGTCTATCCACTCAGTGTGGGTGTGATGTCACTGATGTGTGTTCCGAGACTAATTCCTTTATTTCATCACTCGTAATATTTCGTGTCGTTTTACGAGTAGCAGCGTGATTATCCTGAGTTTTCTAACAAACATCTACCTGTGTAATGAACGCAGGAAATCCTTTTTTCATTTTTACGATAGCATTTTCTCCAATTAATGTCTGATCCAAGAACATAGACGAATTTTCATAAAGCCTCAGAGCAACGAATGCGTAGCTCAGCTGAAGGATTCGTGCACTATAATGTATAATTGTATATTGAGTAATGAATGTATTGAATGCTATGTCATAGATCCGGAGAATGGGCCACGTAGCAGGAATTACGATTTCTGTACCGTCTTGATTCGTGTGAAGCTTTGACTTTCATGTGTGTGTTCAACTGTGAACGCTGATATTCATAAATGATGCACGAGGTTTTCGTAATAAAAAAAGTATTTTAAATACTAATTAAGTTTTTAAACCTTAATTATGTGATTTTCAAATGAAATCCCATCCAAGTAGAAACAGATTTAAATGCTTAAATCTTGTACGATAAATCAGTTTTTGAAAAATCTGAGAAGGAAATTTTCGGTTACGTTCTTCGACAGAACATTCATTTCTCAAAAACTTCTAGAAGACTAAATTTGACGCTCGAAAGAGCACAACTCACAAAATTTTATCTCTCGAATATTAAGTAATAGGAAAATTTTCCCTTAATTTTTTTTAGTTTATAGTTATGCTAGATATTTATACATCGGGCTCTACGCCCGCACCCGGCGTGTATCTAGTAAGTTGGTAAACTCAGTGAAAATCTGCATACAATGTTTGAATATGAGTTATGTAGCTATCCATCTGCTCTATTTGAAAACAAATATTCACTGAGAGCACCAAAAAAGCAGCCCTGGCTGATGCACTCTGGAAACATATGGCGCGAGATCTACCTCTGCCCTCTGAAAATGTGCAGTATATCCTTGACGGAGGTGCTCTGCTACATAGACTTGCCTGGCAGCGGGGCAAACATATGATGAAGTATGTCAACAGTATATACTGCAGGTATGTAGCCCGCCACTATGAAAAGCCCAAGATTGTGTTTGATGGCTATCAAGATGGTCCAAGTGCAAAAGACATTGCACACAGTAGACGTGCTGGAGGCAATTCTGGAGCAACTGTGCACATCTCAGGTTCCATGGTTTTCAATGAAAAGAAAGAAATCTTCCTCAGCAACAAGGTTAACAAGCTCTAGTTCGTTGCCCTGCTCCGGGATCATCTTAATAATAATAATAGCGGTTTCAGCGTTTATTAGGCCGTAGGCCTGTCGCCGATTCTTAACAGTGCAGAACTTTCACAGCATTTCGCGGTCTCGAACTCGCGATTCACTGCTACAATTCTGCTGTGCTTAACCGCCCGGCCTCATTGCCAATTTTGACCAGAAACTGGCGCACAGAGCTGGGATCGAAACCGCGCCTTTCTGCGCCAATCTTGGTACTCTGCTGCACTGGAAACACTGGGCCACCTTCTTGAGCAAAGTGGCTGCTGCACAGACCAGGCTAGGGGAGATGCAGATTTGCTGATAGCCAAATCTGCAATAGCAGAAGCAGAGAGTAAACTGACTCCAGTATGTCTAGTTGGGGATTGCACAAACTAGTTGGTGTTGCTCTGTTACCACACCAAAGACACAACAACTAACCTGTACTTCAGACCAGAACCCAAACAAGTAGGAAAATATCCACCACGATGTTGGAATACTGCAATTCTCAAGAGAGCTATGGGCCCACAGGTTTGCAAAAGCATCTTGTTCACACATGCCTTGCTTGGGTGTGATACAACATCTGCTGTGTATGGCCTGGGAAAAGGATCAATAGTGAAGCAGATTTCAGACAGTGCACTTCTCAAAGCTCAGGCTGAAGTCTTCCACAAGAGCACAAAAGAGGAGATAATAGCAGTTGGAGAGATTGCACTAGTCTTTCTGTACAAGAGTGCTACCGGAGAGTCTCTGGACAAAATCGATTCAAGAACTTTCACAGAAAAGTTGTTAGCTAAGCATTTGTAGACCCCCAGGTGCTTCCACCTACATCAGCAGCTGCCCAGTTTTATAGTCTGAGGACATTTTGCCAAGTGCAAGAGTGTCTGGGCAACAGAATGAAACCTGAAGAGTGGGGATGGGAAGTGAGAAATGGATAATGCGTGCCTGTTCTCACAGATCAAGAAGTTGCCCCCAAGATCTGAGCTACTAGAAATGGTGAGATGCAATTGTTGAACAGATTGTTCTACAAGGAGGTGTGCTTGTCGGAAACAGGATATGGAATGTTCACCAGCATGTGTCCAGTGACACGGTGTGTGCAGTAACACTAGTCAAGTATTTGACAGTCAGTCTGACTCTTCCGATGAGTGACCTCAAGACAGTAATTGTGGTGGTATAAGGGCGAATATGATACATAGGAGTGTTCAGCAGCATGTAGCCAATGCTGATACTCCTGATGGGTGACATCATTCTATTTTGATATATTGTATAGAATAATCACAGAACAATGGACAGTTAAACTTTATGTTAGTAAAACCTACTAGTTCTATAGCTTAAGCATCATAACTGAATTTTTCGTTAGTTTAAATACTTAATTATCACAGTATATTAATTTCTCATTTTGATTATAAGTCCAAAATAAAGAAAAAATTGGGCAAGCTGAAATAAAAATGGGTTTTTCTATTCCATTCATCATTCATATATCTGACATTTTCTCTTTTTGTCTACACAGCTGACGTTCTCTTTTTTCATCTTAGAAATAGTTTTCCAAAGCTGACCATCATAATTAATGATTTTCTGAGCATAATGACTTTTTTTCTACTTATTTTAATCAGACCAATACATTTTAAATGGGTTAGAACCTTTTATGGGACCCAGCAAATCAAGTTATCTGCAGAGCATCAATCAGCTAGAGAATCAGTGTGGTGCGAACTTTCTCTCAAAGGCAAAGGTAGCCTCCTCATAGGCGTCGTGTCATAGGCGTCATAGGCGTTCGGTAGCCTCCAAACAGTTCCTCTGATAACGATAAAGTACTAAACAGTCTTTTACCGAGCATGGCTTTCCGTAGGAAACACAAGTTGATCGTTGGTGATTTTAATCATGCAGACCTAGACTGGACAGATGGATCCTCTCCAAGGGATGAGAATCACCAAGCATTCTTGTTCATGGAGTCTGTGAGAGACTCCTTCCTATAGTCCAGCACGTTACTAAGCCAACCCATTATAGAAGTAAACAGACTGGCAATATTGTAGACCTGGTGTTTACAATTGATGAATCAATGTTAGATGAGCTTCGTCACGAGGCTCCATTGGGCAAAAGCCATCACCAATCATTGTTTTTCAGTCTAGAGTGCTGTACTGAGAAGACGCCTCGAAAGCGTGAGCGTTTGAATTTTGCGAAAAGCGACAATGATGAACTCCGTGAAGCAGTGAATGCAGTGAATATTCACGGCTGAGTCATGGCCATTTCTCAAGGACACGGTTATGTCTGCAGTTGATGCGTGTGTACCTAAAATTAACCTTGGTGGAGCCAAAAAAACTCAGTAGATGAACAGTACAGTTCTGGCTAAGCTGAAAACAAATAAGGAAGCCTACCAGCGTTATTTCCAGACTCGTAGCGATACTGACTATAACCTCTGATGAGGGAGAGATCGAAATCAAGCTAAAGAAAGCTGTCGCACCGCAGTAAAAACCCTCGAAAAATATTGCTAAAAATGCAAAAAAAAAAACGTAAGCCTTCTTTCTGTACGCTAGCTCGAAGTGCAAGATAAAGGACGGTATTTCTTATTTTAAAGTAGATCAACGAAAGATATCCTCTGATGAGGGCAAGGCTAACGTTCTTAATCAGTTTTTCAGTAGCGTATTCACTGAAGAGGACTTGAACAGCTATTGAGGAGCGCCCAGTCGGCTGTAAATTAATAAGTTTTGAAATACAAGAAGAAGAGGTTCTCAAGCGCCTTATCGTTGTAAATCCAAACAAGTCATGTGGACCAGACAACTTCCACCCCATATTACTCAAAGAGTTACCAACTGTCCTAGACGGCCCTTTATCGTCATTTTTTCGAAAAACTTCGAACGAAGAGATCTTGCCGGCTGACTGGAGAGCAGCTCAAGTGACACCATTATTCAAAAAAGGTGACAAAAGCTGCCCGGGTAACTATCGCCTTGTCAGTTTGACAAGTGTCATTTGAAAGGTAATGGAATCTGATGTGGGGATCGATTGTTAGATCATTTGACTGCTAATAATCTCCTATCAGACTGTCAACATGGCTTTATTGCCGGGAGATCCTGCGCCATTAACCTCTTGTCTACTCTGAACGAATGGACCCGCCTGCTGGACGAAAGGGAGCCAGTAGATGCACTGTACCTCGATTTTGCCAGGGCATTTGACAGTGTCCCACATGAACGGCTGTTGCGGAAATTACAGTCTTTGGGAATTGACAGCAATGCACTCAAATGGATCAGAGATTTTCTAGCAGGGAGATGACAACGTGTCAGTATTAATGGGTCCGTATCAGACTGGGCTTCAGTGCGCAGCGGCGTGCCACAGGGAAGCGTTCTCGGGCCTGTTCTATTCGTTGCGTTTATAAACGATCTGCCAGAAGCTGTGTCTAGCGTGTGCTCGATGTATGCTGACGACACAAAAATTTATAATACAGTGAAGAATACGTCGCAAAAAGTACAGTTGCATGGTGATCTTGATAGGCTGGCTGACTGGGCTGATAAGTGGCAGCTGCGTTTTAACGCTGACAAATGTAAAGTAATCCACCTTTGCTGGTAAGAATGATGAACAGCAAGATTACAGTATGAGAAGACACGGTTGCACCGACAGAGTAATGATTTCGAAGTCGACAATGGAAAAAGATTTAGGAGTTAATATCGACAATGAGTCGAAATTTTCTAAGCATATTAAAGGTCAAGTTAATAAAGCCAATAAACGACTTGGACTAATCAGACGCTCTTTCGAGTTCCTTGATGCAGAAGCGATGAAGCAGTTGTTTGTTGCTGTCGTGCGCCCGAACCTAGAGTTTGGAAACGTCGTATAGTCACCGAAACTTGAAAAGGACAAAAATTTAATAGAGAGTGTTCAAAGACGTGCAACTAGGATAATTCCGGGCTTGAAAGGCAAGTCCTATGAGAAAAGATTAAAGATTATGAAGCTTCCAAGCCTCAGTTATCGACGTCTGCGTGGAGAACTCATTGAAGTAAACAAGTATACTCATGGTTTATACAAGGTCCCAGAAGGATTACTAGAATTTGAAACAAGAACCAACACCAGGGGCCACGGCTATAAACTAAAAAAACTGCGTTGTAACACATCCATGCGACAAAATTTCTTCTCGCTTCGAGTCACCGACATGTGGAACAGCCTCTCTGATAGCATCGTTGAGAGTTGAGACGTTGACGCTCCGAGT